CCTCACTGTAAAAACCCTTTTCCAAACTGGTGTGGTGGTGTGTGCCTATAATCCCAGCATGCTGGGAGGTTCAGGTAGGAAGGTAGTAAGTTTGACCCAGTCAACAACTTAATGAGACCCCTTGTCTCAGAATGTTAAACTTCAAAAAGGAGTGAGTATGTAGCTCAGTGTAAAGGCCTTGGGTTCAATTTCCAGTAATGAGAAAGTAAATAAAAACCTCTACTGATCTACACAAGACATCCAGCTTTTACCAACACTTAGAAATCAAGAAACAGGAGAGGGAAAACAGTGTTTTGAATAGTCAGGACACATGTTGCAGCTATCTGATAAGGAATTTTAAATTGCTGTAACAAATATGGTATGGGGCCTAACAAAAAGTAAACTACAGTTGGCCATGATAGTTGAAGTACAAAGGGAGACCCTATCTCTCAAACCATATACAAAACCAAAACTGTTGTCAAGGCTGGGTGAGAGGTAACTTGAGTCCAAAATTCGGTCCCAGCAGCAAGGGATGAACTAATGGCATCAGAGATGGGAACTGAAAATTAACAAAAGTGCTGAAAGTGAGACTAGCAGATATGGAACATCACTTCAGTGAGCTCGTCGGTAGACTTCACAGAACCAGGAAAGGAGTGAACATGAAGATAGGTCAGTGGAAACAACCCAAACTGAAACACAAGAAGAGGTTTAAAAGGGAGGGAAACAGCATCCAAGAATTCCACAATAGGGAAGGTTCTACATGTGTAGTTATTTCCCAGAAAAAGAATGGGCAAAGAAAGTTGAAATAAAAGGTTGGGAATTTCCTCAAAGTCAGTAAAATTCATATCCAAGCAGGACAAATTTATGCATAGACAACAAGGTATATCATTCAAAATGGTAAGAAAAATCAGCCAGAGAGGGGAAAGATGTTATGAAATAAGCTAAGAATTACTACTGAGAACTGTGGAAGCTAGAACACAACAGTATGATTGTGTTGTGTTTTCTGAGGCAATGGCACTATGTAGTCTAAACTTAATATGTAGCCCAGGCTGGCCTCAAAGTCCTGGCAATCCGCCTGCCTCAACCTTCTGAGTGCTGGGATTATAGGCTTGTATTGCCATGCTCATCAACAACAGAGTAACTTTAGTGCTGAAAGGGAAAACTTGTCAACCCAGTCTTGGAATCCTATAATCAATAAAAGTACCTTTCAAAGTAAGAGAGAAAAAGCGTTTCTCAAAGAAAAGCTGAGAATTCGTTACTGGAAGACCTATGCTACAAAAAATACTAAAGGAAATTCATTAGATAACTGAGTACACAGAAACTTACAGCTACAAAACTTCTATCTTGGGACAGGTGTTAGTTTGTAGCCCAGGTTGACCTCAAACTTGAGATCCTGCTTCCTGAGTGCTGAGTTTACAGGTGTGCACACTATGCCTTTCTGTACAAATCAAAACTAAAAGCACTAGAAATGGAATAAATGAATGCAGTAAGATTTTTCGCTAAATTACCTTAAAAATCGTTAAAGTCTGTATTCTTTGTTGTGGCATTGGGAATTGAACCCAGGGCTTTTTCCCTTTTCATTGAGTGATATCACCTTGTGTTATGATTGTTACTTATGAGACGGGGTGTCACTAAACTGCCCAGGCAGGATTTGAACTTGTGATGCTCCTGCCTTGATCTCCCAGAGTCTTGGATTACAGGCATATGCCACTGTGCCCATCCCTCCTTTTGTTAATTTGGGTATTTGTTCTGTACCACAGAGTTACATCCCCAGTTTTCAATACTGAAGTCTAAAGTAGGGATTCAGCAAACCCTGCAAAGGGGCAGCTAATGTTTTAGGTTTTGACAATCTCTTATAATTACTGAGCTCCACCACTGCAGCCCAAAAGCAGCTGTAGATAGGTAATTAAATGAGCATGACTGAATAAAACTATGGACCCTAGAGTTAGAACTTTATTTTTTTTGAGACAGGGTTCACTGCAGTTCAAGTTAACCTTGAACTCACTATATAGCCGAGGCTCACCTCAAATTTGTGGTGATCCTGCCTCAGCCTCCTGAGTGCTGGGATTATAGTTGTGTACCACCATGCCTGGCCTATTTAATTTTTATATACCACAATGCATTTTACCTCTTTTTCCAGCCATTTGAAAATGTAAAGACCGGGGCTGGGGATTTAGCTCAGCGGCATAAGCGCCTGCCTTGTAAGCAGGCAGTCGTGAGTTTGATCCCTGGTACCGATAAAAATGAAAAAGACAAAAAAAAAAAAAGGAAAAAGAAAATGTAAAGACCTTTCAGTTGGAACAGGTTAGTCTTTCCTAACAACTAGAATAAAGCAGAAACATTAGCAGTTGTGTTCCTTTTTTTTTTTTTTTAGCAATTGTATTTCTTAACCCACATGTAAAATTTTTAAATATTGATAAATGATTTGTGTTACAGCCATATGATAAAATACTACTCAGCAATAAAAGAGTAAATGAGTCATACAACAACATGGGTTGCTTTTGAAGTAATTATGCTAAGTGAAACAACCCAGGCAAGAAACAATTAGCTACTGTATGATTTTAAAATCCTGGAAATGTAAATCAACTACTGAGAAAATCAGTGATTCTCTGCAGGTGATTGGTTGGTTGAGGGATTAGAGAGAGAAGGGAAACAAATTTTAAAAGTAAAATATATCATCACATGGGGCACAGGAGGGAAGAAATGCTACTGTCATAAGGTCTTTATACCACATATGAAGCAAAAGAGATGATACCTGAAGGTAAAGTATAACACCCGGAGCTACCTGCAGTTATGCTGTGATCCTTGAGGACTGTTAAGAGAGAGTATTCAATTTGAAGTAGTGACTGAGAATTGGAGAGAGGAGACGATGAAGCATGTGTGCTTGTTTTGTGTGAGATTTTCAGTCACTTGCTGTGTAAATTACACACTTTTATTATCTTTTTCCATAGACTAGCAGTCCAAGTGTGGGCTAGCCTTTTGCTTAGGGTTTCATTAGGCTGAAGTCAGGATGTCAGTAAAACTTTGGCTCAAAATAGAATTTTTTTTTTTATCAGTACTGGGGATCAAACTCACGACTGCACCCTTGCAAGGCACTTAGGCTGCTGAGCTAAATCCCCAGCCCTCAAAATAGAATTTTAAGAAGGGCTGGGGAAATTGGGTATGATGTTACACACCTGTAATCCCAGGCTGAGGCAGAAGGATCGTTGCAAGTTTGAGACCAGCCTGCATTACAAAGTGAGTTCTAGGCCAACCTGAACTGCATAGGAAGAACCTGTCTCAAAAAGACACGACAAAAAAAAAAATCAGCAGGGGCTAGGGGCCTAGCTCAGTGGTGAGCACTTGCCTAGTATTTGTAAGGCTTTAGGTTCAATTTTCAGTGCTTTAGAAAAATACTTTTAAACAATTTTAAATGTTCAAAGGATTTTAATTAGCTTTATTAATGAGCTGTAAGTCATAATTTGCTAGACATGAATAGATTTGTAAAGTCAGTTGAAATTTATTTTTGTATCTCTTTTGAGAGTTTCACTACACAGTTAAGGCAGGCTTTGAACACTGTGTAGTCTGGCCTCGAACTCCAGCAATCTCCTGCCTAACCTCCCAAGTGCTAGGGTTATAGGTGTGAGCCACCATACCCAGCAAGTCAGTTGAAATTAAGAATTAGATTTGGGAATTTCTTAATTGTATTTGGCTTTGGGATTTTTGAGGGGTTCTGATTCTTTGACATAGTTTCCACTGTGTAGTCTAGGTGGGCCTCATTCATCATGCTCTTGCCTCAACCTCACAAGTACTGGGATTATAGGGGTGGGCCATCATGCTTGGCTGATGTTTTAATTTTAATAAAGTATTAATTTAAAAAAATCAATGTAGGCCAGGCATGGTGACATACCTGTAATTCCAAGCCCTTTGGAGCCTGAGGCAGGAGGAGCACCTGGAGTTGAAGGCCAGCCTGAACTACAAAGGGAGACCCTCAAAAAAAATGAGACATTAATTTTTCTGCTCATGAAAGTTACTTGGAAGACCTTTAAGGGGGGAAAAAAAGACTAATATTAAACTGGTAATAGTGACGCATGCCTGTAATCAGAGGCTGATGCAAGAGTATCTCCCAAAAGTTCGAGGCCAGCCTAAGCTATATAAGTCAATTGACTATTAAGGTCAATTGAGACCCTGTCTCAAAAAGGGAGGTAGAGGCTTTTAAAAAACTAAGCATGGTGATCCACATCTGAAATCCTAACTACTCAGAGGCTAAGGCAGAAAGATTGAAAGTTTTAGGTCAGCCTAGGCAATTTAGTAAAATCCTGCCTCGTTATAAAATTTTTAAAACCCTGTGGGTATAGCTCAGTGATGGTGTTTAGTTAGCATGCGTAAAACCTACAGTGGACAGGATGGACATGAAGCCAGAAAACGCAGGAAGTCTCAAGAAAGGAAAACATTGTGGGGTGGGAGCATAAGCCACAGAAATCGTGAGACTTTAAGTGGGGCCTTGCCTTGAACACGGGAAATGGGGCAGTTTCTGGCCACGACCAAGAGGTGTGGCACAGTGGATGAGCACCTGACTGGAAAGAAATATCAAGACCTGAAAAGCCTGGGTGCACAACTCAAGGGAAGCAAAGCTCCAATAATCGGCTACGTTAAGTGGCGACCCCTGGCGTTAAAAGGTGCATGACCTGCGTGCGAAAGCCTTGTAAGATACTTATGTTAAACCCTCAAATAGCAAAGTATGGCAGGTTTGGGAAACTGCGATAGGCGGTAAAATGCAAGGAAAATTAATAGCTCATAGAGGACACTGCCATACGCTTCGTAATCTATGCACAAACTCAATAACCTTGTGAGTGCAGTACGTTTATTATAATCACTGCCGTTTTACAGATAATAAAAGCAAAAGATGATCAAATGTTCCGATCACACGGGCGAGAAAGCAACGCCAGACAGTCCGGACGCCACCAACTCCAAAGACACCCCTGCGCTTTGGCCCCTCCTCTCAGGCCGAAGGCGTGCGTGCCCCGCCCCCGCGCAGCGGAGGGTCACGTGTCGGCGTGGGGGCGGGCCGGCCTGCGCGCCGCGGCCCCACGGAACCTAGGCTTCCTCTACGGAGCGGGCTCCGCATCCCGCGGCCGGATTCGCGTCTCCTTCCGGCTCGGCCGCCAACCGGGGCTCGGGCAGGGGCCCGGGCCCCCGGGACATGGCCCTTCATCGTGAGCAGCGGGACGGCCCTACTTCCAGCCGCTGGAACGGTGGCACCCAGAAGACAGGTACGGAAGCCGACCGGCACTCCGGGGAGCCGCCTGCGAGGGCTGCCGGGGCCGGGCGGCGAGGGGCAGGGGACTGCCGTCGGAGGTACGGGCCACGGGCGAGGCCTGGGGCCGGGGCAGCGGGCGAGGAAAGGATGAAGGCCCCGGCTCGCGTCTGGAGCGGGAGAGGGCCTGGTGTTGGGTCCTGTGCGGACCGTGGAAGGGAGCCGGCGGAATCGCGTCCCGGGAAGGAATGTGGTGGCGGGGGCCCTGCGCGGCGTCCTCCTGCCCGGAGCGGAGACTTGGTCTCTCCGAGAGCTGAGGCCAGGCCTAGCCTCCAGGCCTGACACTTGCCGGCCACGTCCGCATACTCTTGGTGCCGCCTTCCTCGATGTTAGGCAGGGTTCCCAAACTTCACTCCTGCCGCCCTCTTGACTTACGCAGTCTTCTTGTAACATCTGTTCCTTTGAATCGCCATGAGGCCCACCCTTTTTAAACCTGCGTCTTAGTACATTCACAGAGTTGTACGAAATCTCCACTGTCCAATTCCAGAACACGTGTGATTTCTAAAACAGGGCTTTACTCTTAAGCAGTCACACCCTATTCTCCAGTCTCTAAAGCTCCTGTTCTACTTTCTGTCCCTATTCTGTGCAGCCTATTTTTATGTTGTGTATAAAGCGATTGTTTTTAATGCTGTTTCAGCCTAATCGGTATCTATGAAATCATGATTCTGTTTCTCGTGTTCTGAGATACGTTATTCTTATAGTAAATGCATGTCAATTAAAATTATGAATGTTTACCCCATACCAAGTGAAATATTTTTCTTTGGAGAAGACTAAGGTAACTGTTCCCCCTCTAAGAGCCATCCCTATGATGGATGCCCATCATAGAACTAGTCATGTTATTTCAACCCACATGTTTTGATGAAGCTTCTGGTATCTTGTTTGTTGGGGCTCATTTTCTGTTATTCCTCTTTTCTCCTAACATACGATCTTTCTGTGCTCTGTGGCATTATAACCTGTGGCTGGTGTTTGTGTGACATTTGTCCTCATGGCATAATAGTCACTGCCCCAAGTGACATGGGTCTTGTGACCTGTTGTAGTGCAACTATATCTAGGTTATAAGACTATCCATCTAGTTCCCCTGATTTTTTTTTCCAGATAGGAAAAAGGAATTTAGATATGGGGAGGATTGTTGGAATTTTAATCACACTTGAAAATTGCTGGCAGAATTGTTAATACCAGCAGCGCTTCTTCCTGAAATTTATAGTCAGATTGGTTTCTCTCTAGATGATTTTCCTCCAGAATTAGAGTAAAGCAGCTCACCCCGCCCCTCACTAAATTGCTCAAACTGGGCTCTAACTTGGAATCATCCTGCGCCATCTTCCTTGAGTGCTAGTATTACTGGGTGTGCCACCACACTCAGCTTTAAAGCACCTTTTCTTTCTTTCTTTTTTTTATTTAAAGAAAGAAAGAAAACAAAATAGAATACAGAATTCAAAAAAAGAAAAAATTAACACTAAGAAATCGCTAGCTGATACATTACATATAGTCATCTTAGAGATAGTTGTTCAAGTTACAAAATCAAAGCATAAAAAGTGGATAGACACTCAAACATTGACAGTGCAAACCATTCTGTTAAATGATCCAACAAAAATTTAGTAATATGGTCATCTGTCTTATACACTTATACATACAGTTTTCTATGTATAAGTTTTATTTTGTTGTTAATAAGAATTCTTACTCAGAATAAAGTTGTTTTCCTCTTCTGCTGTCCATGTCTGGTACAGACTTGATGTTTAAGCATAAATTTTCCAGTTAATTTCTAAGGTTACTATTAAGAGTTCAGGAGGGATATCTCTGTCTAGGAAAGTCTCTCTCATCTTTCTCTTTTTGTCTCCCCTCCTTCCCTCTCTCCGTAGCTCTTTTATTGTTTTGATTAAGACAAATGTTTTTAAATTTGAGTTTAAATTTTGTTTAGAGACTATAAAGTTAGGACCAGGGATTATAGCTCATCAGCACAACACCTGCCTGGCAAGCTCAAGGTCCTGAATTTGATTCCTGATAGCAAAAAAAAAAAAAGGCTAAAGTTAGCCAGGTAAGATGGTACACACTTTTAAACCCACTCTGGAAGGCTAAGACAGGAGGATCACTGTGAGTTCAAGGCCAGCCTGGGGTACATAAGTGAGTTCAGGTTTGCCCTGTTTAGTGAGACCTTGTCTCAAAAAAAGAAAAGCAAAAGACTGTTTCTGGGTGTGGGGCTGGGGATTTAGCTCATCGGCATAAGCGTCTGCCTTGCAAGTAGGCAGTCGTGAGTTCGATTCCCAGTACCGATAAAAAGGAAAAAGACAAAAAAAAAAACCTGTGAAGACTGTTTCTGGGTGTGGTGGTGCATGCCTGCCTGTAATCCCAGCATTTGGGAGGCTGAGGTAGGATGATCACTGAGTTTGAGGCCAGCCTGGGCTATATAGTGAGACCCTGTCTTGATTGATTGAGAAAGAGAGAAAGAATTTCCTTCACCTAAGTTTCCATTATATAGTATGTAAATCACTGACCCAATCCAGTTCACTAAGTATTTTGATGCCTTAGAAACTGAGAGAGAGCTTTTCTTTAGTTGTGGTCCTTCCACTATATTAGGTTCCCCAAGCCAAGGACATTTGGAGATACTCATTACTTGGGGGAGGCAGAAATCTATACTTGAGTTCCCTAGCCAGAGTTGGGAGACATTTAAGACAGCAATAGATGAGCGCGCGCGCTCTCTCTCTCTGTCTCTCTGTCTCTCTGTCTCTCTCTCGTCTCTCTGTCTCTCTCTCTCTCTCTCTCGTCTCTCTGTCTCTCTCTCGTGGTGGTGGTAGTGGTGGTGGTACTGCTGCTGACTCTTAAACCCAGGCCCTTGTGCATGCAAGGCAGCAACTCTACCACTGAGCTGCATCCCCAGCCCTGGATTAAGCCATCTTTATCTGAACTGTGAGGAACTACTGTACCTCTTTTATGACATTTTAATGGAGAACAGGCTGCAGTAGTGCATGTGTCATTCTTTTTTCCTTTGTTGAAAGAAATACTTTTCAGGTATCGGGGTTTTATTTATAATTTCATATTTTACAGCCAGCTATAGGACAGTCATTTATTCCGTCATTGTTGTTAGCCAAATCCTCTACTGTAAAGCAATTTGGAATGTATCAGCTTTGGAATGTACAGCATACCTCTCTCAGTGAATACTATGTAAGTTGAAAAGCAAAGGATTCAAAGATTAGAGAGACAGCATGATACCTCCCGGTGAAAGATGGTCTTTTTTTCCCCCCAAGCCTAAACAGCACACTAGAATCCAAAAATGTGCGTCTTTCTTCACTTCAGCAGCACATACACAAAAATGTGTGTCCTACTCTAAAAAAACGAAGAAAGAGGGGCTAGGGATTTCACTCAGAGGCACAAGCCCCCTCCCTGGCTAGCGAGAGGTCAAGAATTTGACCCCTGGTATCCAAAAAAAAAAAAAGGATACAAAAAAAAATACAGGCTCAAACATAGAGTAGGATAGGAGAAAACAAGGGAAAAGATTATACACATGTATACATATATATGTGTGTATGTAAATGTGTATAAGATAGAGAGCTATACTACTAATTTCTGTTGGTTCATCAAAAAGAACAGTTGGTTTTGTCTTGTTGATCATTTCTTCATGCCTAAATGTTGTAATCTGAACACCTACTTTCAAGATAACAATATGCAATATATATATATATATATATATATTTTTTTTTTTTTTTTTTTTTTTTTTTTTGTCTTTTTCGTTTTTATCGGTACCAGGGATCGAACTCACGACTGCCTGCTTGCAAGGCAGGCGCTTATGCCGCTGAGCTAAATCCCCAGCCCGAATATGCAATATATTAACTAGCGTGAATTTCCTGTTTTAAAATTCTGTATCGTTTTTGTCCTGTTTTTAATAAATAGAATAGGAACAGTCATTTAAAAAAAAAAAAAGAGCTGGGTATGGTGGTGCACACCTGTAATCCCAGCACTTGTGAGGCTGAGGCAGGAGGATTGCCTTGAGTTAAGAGGCCAATCTCAGCTACATACTGAGTTCAAGACCAGCCTGAACTACGTAGCAAAACCCTGTCTCTAAAAGTCAAAAGAGAGGGAGAGAAAAGGAAAAAGAAAGAAAGAAAGAAAACAAGAAGAACAATTGGAGCTGTAATTTGTGTTCAGAGTTAGTTAATATTCTGGCACATGCCAGAACCACATTAAGTCCAACCGATTGCAACCAGTGTTCTTCTCCCCAAGATATAAGTAACAGCTTCCTCCTCTCCCCCAGTTTGCTAAATAGCTACTTGGAAAAAGGATGGAATATATCTGAGTAAGTTGAAGAAAACTTCCCGTACTCTTAGAAATAAATCAACAAAATTTCTCAATGTCCGTGTCCCTCAAGCAGTACTCAGTGTTAGCACTTAAGTGCTGTTATTTGGGGGAAGGGGTATGTTAAGACAGGGTCTCGCTATGTAGTACAAACTAGCCTGGAACTTTGAGCGTAGCTCAGGTTGGCTTTAGACTCTCAGCAGTTGTGCCACCATGCCTGGCTAAGTGCTGTTAATTTGTAATATATGGAAAGTGCAAAGAAACTCAAGTTTTAAAAAATCTGAATATATTAGATTTTTTTCTGTTCGTTGGAAATTAATTGAATTCCTGCCCATATTCTGTCTCATCATATATCTGTCATATAAAAAGTGTCTTGGTCAGGGAATGCAGCTCAGTTGTAGAAAGCTTGCCTAGCATGTGCAAAGCCTGGCTTCTATCCCCAGCACCAGGAAGACCAAAAAAGTATTGTTGTTTTCCTGGGTGTTTGTGACCCTCCCCGAAAACATCGAGCCTGGTCTTCCAAAAGATGACGGTCCCACAGGATGAAACCCAGACTCCCACTGGGAATGGTGGTTCATGCCTGTGATCCCAACACTTGGAAAGCTGAGGTAGGAGGACCATCACTTTGAGGCCAGCCTGGGCTGCCTAGTGAGACAGCCCCATTGTCACCACCAAAAAAAAAAAAAAAACGAGTAAAAAGAACCTTGAAAGGGTAGATCCACCCAGACTTTGACTGGCCTCACTCATTGTGGTCTGTCGTGCTTCTGGTGTCTTCCCTGCGCTTGACACTATAACCCACAGGGTTTGTATTCTGTTTCCTGGGTGGACATGGTGCTTTATTAACATGAGAGGTGCCTTGCCCACGCTCTTTCCTCTGTCAGGAACGTTTTTCCTTTGACCCACTCATTATTTTGTGTGGCAGAATGTCCAAGAAAGTACTGGTTATCTTCTTAGGGAAATCTTTCCTCTTTGTGTTGGAAGTAAGTCATTCTTGCCTCTGGGTTTCCATAATGCTTCCCATGCTGTGAAACAGTTGCAGCCCTCCCTGCCGTGAGCTTCTCATGGGCTGGAAAGAAACCATACCCATCGGGTTTTTTTTGGGTTTTTTTGTTTTTTTGTTTTGGTTTTTTTTTGGCTTTTTATTGGTACCGGGGATCGAACTCGCGACTGCCTGCTTGCAAGGCAGGTGCTTATGCTGCTGAGCTAAATCCCCAGCCCCATACCCATCTTTTTACCCTAGTACAGAGCTTAGTGCATCTAGACACTCATTAAATAATGGCCTGTTGGGGAGGTGGCCCAATGGTGGATGGAAGGGAAACCTGAGCCAAGGTCTTGATAAACACTTAACTAGTTAGGTGCTCTGCTGACGGGGAATTTAGGGTTTGGTTTTTCATGGTGTCTAGGTAAAGCGGCCATTTAATTTGGCCTCCAGATTGGCCCATTTTTGAGTATGCAGGAAACAGAGCAGTTTTACCAAGACTAATAGTTATAAAACAGGAAGATTTTAGACAAATGGTCACTCTTCTAGGTTCTAGAGAAACCATCAGCAATCTAGCCAGGAGAACAGGTTTACCTGGGCAGAAAGTCAGTCTTTTCCTATTTGACCTGCAGCTGCATGTGACTGTAGACTTCAGTTTGTGTGGCTTTGTATGTCACAGTTTGCGTAGGTCACCGGGGCGGCCTCTAATGCCAGCACTCATTTGTGTTCATAGTGCACAGCTTTGTCACAGAAAGTTTGTAAACTACTGTTGTGTCCGAATAGAACATTGCTGGGGGAAGCTGACAGAGCCTCTCTACGGTCTAACCTACCTCTGGTGTTATCTTCTACCTTACATGAACCGTAGAACCAGTGTCTAGTTCGCTCTCTCCCTCCGTCTCTCTCTGTTCCTCCCTCTCCTTCTCCCTCCCTCTCCCTCTCTCTCTTTCTGTCTCTCCCTCCCTCCTTGCCTCTCTCCACCCCCCTTCCTGTAGAGGGGATTAAACCCAGGGCCTCATGCATGCTAGGCAAATACTTCCACTGAGGTACATCCCAACCTCATAACAATTTTTTAATGAGTCTGTTTGCTGTCAAAGTAAAGGACTTGCTTCCTGTCTCCAAGCCTTCTATTCTGTATCCCACTGAGTTCCACCCTTTTTAAAATGTACTTTTAAGGTGTCTGACCTGCCATACTCTTTGAGTTCCTCACCTTTATTGTCACCACATGCCTTTATGTGGCAATTAAAATACACTGTCTAGTGATACTTGGTGTTGTCTTGTTTAACTTTTCTTGTGTTTTTGGTTTATCGTCTCAGTGGTGAAGGCAACAGAAAGACTGAATGAAAACAGGCATCAATCATTTAATGTTTAGCAAGCGATTCCTAAAAGCAGACATTGTGTATAAAACTCTGAAAACCTATGGGCCCTGTATTTTATTTTATGTCATTTATGGGGAATTGAACCCAGGACTTAATGCATGATCGTTGAGTTCTGAGCTAAACCCTCAGCCCTTTTTACTTATTATTTTGACACAAGGTCTTACTAAACTACCTGGGCTGACCCCAAACTCACAATCATCTTTATCAGCCTCCCAGATAGCTGGGATTACAGCCACGTGCCAGAGCCCATTATTTTGAATAGAAGAATTACCTGATGATATCAACCACAGACTGCCAACCCATTTCCTTAAAAAGTAATTGAAACTCAGTAAAATATTTGTAAACAGCATAAGAATGGAAGATGCTTAAACATTGCTTCCTGATGATTGGTGATAAATACAGTTGTTGAGAAACATTTACTTTGTGTGCAGTATTATGACCTTTCTACCAACAATACTGGAGAGCCAGGCAGTCTTTCACACTGTGCTTTTGAAAATATTTCCATGCAGTTCTGATGTGCTGTGTAACTGGAGACATTTCCATGTGGTTTTGTAGAATTGTGCTCACTTTGGCAGCTCATACAGTAAAATGTAGTATTGTGCATTTTTGTTTCTTTTGTTTTATAGTTCTGGGAATCAAACTCAGGACCTCACCAAGCACTTCAGCCAGAGCTGGCAGTCAGGAAAAAAAGAATCCTAAGCCGTAGTTGTGAATGTTGAATTACATTTTTCCTATATAAACAACAAAGGAAAGTTCCTGGCTTGAGATTTATAAGCTCTGTGAAGTTTGGGTATTAAGAAAAAAACAGGAAAACATTGTCACTAACTGCTAGATATGCCTGGACCTACTGAACATTTATTGTAATTGTAATTTCTTGCTTATTATTTATACAGTGTATCTGTAGTGGTTTTTCATTTCAGTTTTTGTTTTGTCTTTTTGAGACAGGGTTTCCCTATGCAGTTCAGGCTGGCCTTGAGTTCACCTTATAGCCCAGGCTGGACTCAAACTCCCAGTTATCCTCCTACCTCAGCCTCCCAAGTACTGGTATTATAAGTGTGCACCGCTACACCCAGCTCCAACATATGCTTTTTTTAAACTGCCCTTTCTTTTTCTTTAAAAATGTGATTATTCTGTGCATGTCATTGTTGATCCAAACCTATAGAAAAAGACCATCTTTTTAAAAGTTGGCAACTTGAAATACATTTTGTAATGAGTGTTCCAGTCCTCTGTACGATTCAGCACACCAGGCCAGTTAATCCTGCCTTTGCCTGCAGGTGATCTAAAAGCTAAGAGAAATTCCCACCTTATTTCAGTTAGGAGAGGGAGCCCTAAGCAAAATACTGAATGTGTGGCCTGATGCTCCCCATACTTTGTGGTTTTTTACAGACTTCAGCACCAAAAGGAAAAAGAAAGTGGCAGAGATATACCAAGCTCTGAACAGTGAGCCCCCTGATGTGGCTGCCCTCAGACGCATGGCTATCAGTGAAGGAGGACTCCTGACCGATGAGATCAGAAGAAAAGTGTGGCCCAAGCTGCTCAATGTCAGCACCAGTGACCCACCGCCTATACCAGGTACTGTGGGTGGGGCCCCAGAAGAGAGCTTGTCTAGGAATCAGGGAGAAAGGAATCTGGGATGCCTGGTTTTTGGGCTCATTTTAAAATTTTTTTTCCTTCCTTCCTTCCTTCCTTCCTTCCTTCCTTCCTTCCTTCCTTCCTTCCTTCCTTCCTTCTTCTATTTCTCTCTCTATCTCTGTCTCTCTCTCTTTGTCTCTCTGTCTCTGTCTCTCTCCGTCTCTCTCTCTCCATCTCTCTCTCCCTCCCTCCCTCCTCACATAGTTCTGGCTGACTTTACACTCATTGTGTTGCCTAGGTTGGCTTTGAATGCACAGCGGTCCTCCTGGCTCAGCTGGGATTACAGGTGTGCCACCATGCCTGGCTTTGTGCTTGTTTGAACCAAAAATAGATGAATACATTGAAATGCTGGAGCTCAATCTGAAAATAAGGCCTGATAATAAGTAGAATTTTATTCACATTTGGAGTGAGCTTTTATTAGTGCTTAAAATATTGGCTAGGAAAGAGAGTCTGTTAAAAATGCCTCTTCTGGTTCAGATTCCACTCAGTTGGAGGTGTGTTGTAGGAATCTGTGTTTTAGTAAAAACCTTGGCTGATTCTCATGCCGAGCAACTATATTTTGAAAAAAAAAAAAAAGAAAACTCTTTTTGGGGAAATATTAAGATTCTTTGGAAGGATTACTATTGAGAACATATAAAGAACTCAAAAAAATCAGCCCTCCCAGATTTAAAAGTTCAATCCAAAAATGGCCATCTGAGATGAATATACATTTCTCAGTTAAAAAAATACAAACAGCAAACAAACACATGAAAAATGTTTAATATCACTGTTCATTTGAGAGATGCAAATTAAAACAACACTGAGATTCTACCTCACCCTGGAAAGAATGACTGTTGTCAAGAAATGAAGCAATAGGCTGGTCCGATGGCAGTGGGTTATCAGAACTTATTAACATTAGTGTCACTAAAGTTGGTATACCACCCCCCCCACTGCTAAATTTGACTGCTTAAAAAAAAAAAATTAAAAAAAAAAAGAAATGAAGCAATAACAAACACTGGAGGGGCCGTGGGAATAAAGGAACCCTTCTCCACCGTTGTTGAGAGTGTAGACTGATGCAATCAGTGTAGAGATTCCTCAAAAAAGTAGGATTGGAGGACTCATTTGACCCAGCTAGTCCCCTTCTGGGTATCTCTGCAAAAGAACTAAAAACATCACACCACAGCAATATATGTGTGCCATGTTCATAGCAGCACAATTTGTAATAGTAATCTTTTTTATCCATTCCTCAGTTGATAGGCATTTAGTTTTTTAAACAAACTAAATGCCTATCAACTGAGGAATGGATAAAGATGTGATATTTTTACATAAGGGAGTACTACTCAGCCATAAAGAAGGATAAACTAGAGACTTTTATAGGTAAATGGATGCAACTTGAGACCATACTCATACTCAAGTGAAATGAATAAGACATGCATGTGTAAACATTGTATTGTCTCACCAGTTGTGAGAAACTGAAACAACATGTATATATATGTATGTAAAAGAACTAACTAAAATACTTATACTACTGATTTCTCTGAGTTCACTGAAGAGAAAGATTTGTGCTGCTATTCTTTGGGCAATTGAATGCAGATGTCTTATGCTCTGGGTGAATGGTTTGGAGATGATGTCGTGTAATGTATGTACCATTATTGTCCCCTGACTGATGTGTTTTGAAATTTTTAGTTTTCTTCTTCTTCCTCCTTTTTCTCCCCTTTCTCCTCCTCCTCCTCTTTTCTTCTGTTTTATTTCTCTTGAAATAAAATAGATTTGAAAAGAAAAAAAAGATCCTTTAGAGATCCAAAATTCAATAATTACTTGACACAATGGAGCATGCCTGTAATCCCAACAGTTGAGGAGGCTGAGGCAGGAGGATCATCATCAATTTGAGGCCAATATGGGCAACTCAGCAAGACTGTCTTGAAAATTTTTTAAATTCTGTAATTGTACAAAATTGTACAAAAAAAATTGTACGAAGCTAATTTGCAGAGCCATGTAGAGAAAGGAATTCCTGGAGTGCAGTTCAAAATACAAAAAATGCAATGGTACTTTGCTGTCTACTCAGTTCACTGACTTTACTGTGTTGATGCTGTTTTGGCAAAATACCAGTGCTGGGGGTGTTTCTCTTTTCATTTGGCAAATGTTAGCTGTACTCCTATTGTATGCCAGGCTCTGGAGATGATGACTCTGCCCTAAAAAGTTCACAGTGCCGTGGTGTGCCAAGGAGGGACTGAGTTTCCGCTAGCTGTGATCTCCAGAGTGCTCAGCTTTCCATTGGAAAGCAAAGGTGTTGCCATGTTCATTCTTCTGTCAGGTCCCCCACTTCTCGAGTCTCCTAAAGAGCTAAAGTCTGTGAGAAAGGAAGAATGGTGCAGGCTTCTTGGAGAGCCGTTGACCTGGGTTGTGAGGGAAATGGATACTTCTTGCCTACTCTCTGCTGTAGGTTGAGGAAAATGTACGCCTGCACACACTGAGAGGCAGCCTCCTTACTGAACCACTGTATTGAGCTTGTGCCGTGATAAGTTCTGTCTCCTGTCAGTGGCATCTTAATTTTATGATGTCAGGGCCAAGAGATATTAAAATTATGCTGGTTATGATAGTGCACACCTGTAATCCCAGCACTTGGGAAACTGAGGGAAGGATCCAACTGTGAGTTGGAGGTCAGCCTGGGCTACACAGTGAGTTCAAGGCCAGCCTGAACTGCATATTGAGACACTGTCTTAAAAAGGAAAAACAAATTTGTGGGAGGGTGGTTACTGAGATTGAACCAGGGCTGTTCTGCCTGCCACTGAGCTACACATCCCCACCTCGTTTTTCTTTTCTTTTTTTCCCACTGTTTTTTTCAAACATGGTTTCACTTACTTGCCCAGGTGGGACTCAAACTTGTGATCCTCCTGCTTCAGTGCTGGAATCGTAAGCCCGCGAACAATGCCTGGCTATGTGTTGTTTTTTTTTTTTTTTAATGTCACATTATTCCTTTCAAACAGCTCAGAGCTCCTCTAGTGTGACAGCAGAAGTTAGAGTTATCCCCAGGGCCTATGGTTTCCATGGCTATGTTTCATGCAGTCATCATGGTAACCTAAGAGGTGCATAGGGAAGGGAACAGCCTCACTTCCAGATGTGGACAGGACCCCAGTTGAAGTACAGGGCCCCCCCACAGGTGCAGGACTCCATTTTACTGCCGTCTGGACAGCCTGTGTCTCTCTTCTGTCTTCTAGACTTGCATGAAACAGTAAGTGTTCCTAAAATAGGAGCTCCTTCTCAAATGCATCCTCTTCAAGCTAGAGAGACCAGGAGAAGTGAAGGCTTCCAGGAAGAAACTGAAAAACTGAGCAGGCTCCTGTGAGTGACAGGGTGCAAAGAAAAGTTGCGATCTGAGAATTAAGACTTGCGCAGATATCATTGGGTCAGCACGATCATTCACCCTCAGGTAGTCACCTTAGGCCTCCTCCTACTTCAGACAGGTGCTATAGTTTCTATCAAAGTGAATGCAATAGTGGGTGAACCAGTCATGATATCGGCCACCTACTCAGTGTCCAGATTATTACTGTCATTCATACACTGGGGCCAAGGAAATGCCCCCTTTATCAGTGCCAATACACTTACCAAACCGAATGGATACTGGGTCACATATCAGAAGAAAAGGCATCATCAGCTAAATAAGAGAGTTAGTCAAGGAGATGTGTCCTTGACCATTGAGAATGTAAGTATGGGTGACAGTGACCACTACTGTTGCAGTGTTAGAGTTCTGGGATTGTTCAGTCCATTTACAACATTATGGCAGCCAGGACCACAGGAGTTCCAACATCACCCTGTGCTTCTGCTTCTGCTCTGCCAACACCAGCACACTCACAGAGCCACAAAACAGCCAGGGCCACAAGAGTTCCAACACACCTTATGTCCAGGGAGCAGGAGAGGAGTTGAATCTTTGTTTCCTACAGTGCTGCAGGCTGGGTTTCTACTGCTTGACTTGGAACAGCTGGAGTATTTTCTGTTCTCCTGCTCCCTGGACTCTTGCCCAACAGATGGAAATGACATGATGACACAGTTTTCACATGGCCATTGGCGTAACAGTCAAAGTGTATTTCCAGCGCAAAATCTGTTGTTGATCACTTAACAGAGTCTATACTGGAATCCCTGGTTGCAGCTTGCTTTTGCTCATTATTTTGGTTGTCATCAGTATCAAAAAGTATTTCATCAACAGAAAAAAGATGTGGACACTAGGCAAGGTTTTGGTGACTCATACTTAAATTGAAGTTTTGAACTGCATAGCCCAGCAGAAAGCAAAGCGTGCATCATCGAAGTTAAACTTTGAATCATAGATTAAGGCCCAGCAGTAGTCCCTACCCCTGGCCACAGAAAACAGTGACTAGGCATCACCATGTTAAACACCTTTTCAATCCCAGTACCATTTTTCTGTATCTTTTTATCTGTTCTAACAGATTAGTGTTATGTAGAGTAACTTTTGGTGTCAAAGCCTTAGGTGGTCAAATCCATTTAATATAGTCCTGATTTTTTTATACTAAGACTAGCCAGGCACTGTAGAACTCTGTCAAACATGAATACCTCAAAGTTTCGTCTTTTTTTTTAGATTCCATTATTCTTCTATCTTTCAAAGAAAGTAATCAGTGGCAATACAGCAAGTAAACCCACCACAACCATCAAGAGCAACAGGATTTAAAAATCAAAAGGTCCAATTTGAGACTTCATTTGGGAGTGTTTCTGATTACCTCTTGCTTTTATATTGTAACTCCAAATGGGACATTTTGGATGTTCCCTAAGTTTGAATCACATGAATGTGCTGGTTTTATGGCCCTTAGGAGGAAGTTGAAGTGAGTCCACTTTTACCATTGTAGATATTTTTCCATGGCTCTGGTGTGATCCCGGGTTCCAGATGGTTATTTTCGCTGTCAGATAAAGTTAGGAACCAAGTAGGTTCCGGGGAAGACAGTCACTTGCCACATGGCTCGTCATGTTTACACTGTGTGTAATCCTGGCCCTGTGCCATGGTGTGGTGTCTGGACAACTGCCAGCCCAGGTGTTAGATTTAGGGCAGAAATTAGAAAAAAAAGGAAAAAATTAGGAAAGTTTTTCTACCTTACAAGCGTTCTCCTGCATGTATAGTAGTACATAAAATTGTAGCAGTTTTGACTAATATTCAAAGTTTCTAAGTTGTCCCTAGAAGACTTTTAGATTTAAAATGATTTCTAAAGGGTCCTTTTCATATCTCATCAATACCAATGCTAGTTTTTGCTATTTGATTAAATTTTTGATTTTGCCAAGAGAGACAAAGGCTATTGTAAAGATGGCTTCAGTCACAGGAATGATTCTTAAAAATGCTAATTTACAAGAAGCTAACATCAGAAGAGAAGCATTTGTAGAAATACACGATTAACAGAGGTATTCATTGCAATTTCAATTTGAGCAAACCTTGACCTAATTCATGTTTGGGGTTCACAGCTACATTCTCCACAGTGGTCTAAAGGGACAGGGTGCCTGCTTTCCAAGGTCCCATTTTTGCCACTGCTCTACAGAGTTCTAGACATGAGTAGGACTTCAGAAGGAGGGTCTGTGGGCAAATAACACAGCTGCATACTTTATTCTGGGTTTGCCAAGTGAGGTTAACATGATTTGATCTAAAGTTTTATCGTGTTCAAACTACAGTGTTTACTTTTTCTGAAATTCAAGGCACAAGATGCATAAATGTGACACTTTACAATGAAAACCCAGGTTGGAACTTTTTTGGAAAGACTTTCAAGATTGGGGTGCATTCTAACATGGTCAGGCCCCTGGGAGATGGAGCCCCTGTAGCACTATACTCCTTACCTTCCTTCCCATTCATTTTTACTCCTGTCTGGGCCTACAGTGCTTTATATTTTTGATATCCTCCTAGAGGATACCCTAAAGAGAGGTACCCTAAAGAATCTGGGAATCTGGTCAGAAATTTAGGATTTCCAAAATTTGTTTGAACACAAGCGTACCAGTAACTAGCATCTTGTGAAACAAAGTATGAACACAAGAGTACCAGTAAGTAGCATCTTGTGAAAGTATGTGGGGTCTTGGGAGAAAACACACGTACAGGATTGACAATAGGACCTCATTTCTGATCTTAACTCTTAATTGTAACACTGGTAACATGAAAGCAACTTGTTCTTTATTCCTTTTATGTGTGATCATTTCATATCTACCTTGTTATATAGTAGTAATTCCAGCAAAATGTTACTTGTTTTTTTTAACAAGTCAAAAAAACAAACAAACAAACTACAGAATGCTAGTTTCTCCTCCCCACCCCCAGCAGATTTTGTAATGATAGCAGATTTAACATCAGTTCCCAATGAGTAATTTCACTGAGGTTAACATTCATAAATCTCTTGAGGGGTGTGTGTGTGTGTATGTGTGTGTGTGTGTGTGTAATTTTAAAAATAAGCCTTTTTGAAACAATTGATGTTGGGTGATTTCATTAATATACTATAGAAGAAAATTAGTAGTAACAGGAAGGATGGATAAGAAAAAAGGAGAAATTTAGTTAATATGAATTATTCTGTAAATTTATAAATCTAAGACATCGTATTGAATTTTGTTTTGATTTTGATTTGGACCCTAAGTCCATTGCCTACAGTCTGTCCTGGAATATTAGAACACTACATTGTTTAAAATTGTTTACTTAAATTTATGAAATGCTGTACATCTGTAAGCAGTGGGGAAAACCAGTCATTCCTAATAGCTGCAAATATGTAATAATTTTGTGAGTACATTAAAATTTTTAAAAATGAGGGATTCTTAATGGTTGTGTAATAAAAAATTGTTTTATTTTGGAAAAAAAATAAAAGAATAAGCTAGAGCCAGATTTGGTGGTATACACCTATAACCCGGTACTTGGGAGGCTGAAGTAGGAGCATCACCACCCTCAGCTACATAGCAAGGCCAGCCTGGACTACATAGCAAGACCATCTCAGAAAAAAGCATAAGTTAGTATATACCCCCCAGGCCTTTGATGTCCTTAGAATGTTTTGCTTCTCCCTTGCCTTGCAGACGTTCCTGTCATAACATGTTCCTCTTCCTCCAATAGGAGAGGACCTAAGGGAGGTGAGCAAGGACTACCAACAAGTGCTGCTGGACGTCCGGCGGTCCCTGCGGCGCTTCCCTCCTGGTGAGCAGCTCTCCACTCTTGCCACATTGGGAACGAGCCTTTCTGTCCCCTTGTACTTACCTGACGTGGGTGCTTGCCAGTCAGCTGGGAAACAGACCTCGTGCTTTTTGTTTTGGGGATTTTGTTTGTTTTGTGTTTTGTGTTTTGAGATAGGGTCTGGCTATGCAGATCAGGCTGGCCTTGAGCTTGTTTTGTAGCCCAGGCCCAGACCTCATATTTATGGTCTGTTTTGCTTCCACTGAGAATTCCTCCTGAGGTCTGTGAAGTGGAGAATGGCTAAGGAGAGCCTCTGACCCTCTTAAGTTCACTCGTCTGAAAGCAGGCCCAGCTTGAATTTGTTATCAGCCTTCTTTCCTGTTTGTGTCCTTGCTTCCAGGAAAGGTGCTTGTGCCTCCCCTGTAGCCTGCCAACTTCATTTATAAATTTTTTTAAATTTTTGCATTAAGCATTTGATACAGGCCTTGAACTTACTATATTATCTAGGCTGGCCTCTAACTCAGAATCCTTCTGCCTCAGCCTTCTAAGTGCTGTAATTACAAATGTGTGCCACTATTTCTGATTTCATTTTAGTTTGGATAAGACATATGCCCATGGCCAAGTCTCTTTTCCAGTCCTGTTTTTTTGGATAAGACCACACAGGACAGAGGCCTCCTTTTCCCCCTAAGTAGTCTGTTTTCCCTCTCACCCTTCGTTCCACTCCCACTTGTGTTGCATCAGCCTGGGATATTCTTCCTGCAGAGTGAACGCTGCTTGTGGTTTCTATTTTTTCCATACATTTTCTTCAGTTTCCCTGACCACTGTTACATTGTAAGTTCAAACAGGATTTAATTTTTACTCCTACTGCTTTTATACTTTACCTACCCATAGTTATTTGTTTACTTCATTTTATCTTCTCCAGTATGCATTGTTTGAGAAAGGTAGGGTAAATATGGGCAAGAGGGGCCCTGTTCCAACCCTCAGGCCTTTTTGTCAATGTGATGTGGGCCCTTTCTTCAGTTTGTTCTCTGTACCTGCAGAAGCTCACCCCACACTGTGGGAAAACTAGGCTCCGTGCCGCTTTTTTTTTTTTTTGAAACAGGGTCTCATTGAAACAGTTCAGGCTGACCGTGAGCTCACTGTGTAGCCCAGGATGGCCTTGAACTCAGCAGTCCTCCTGCCTCAGCCTCCCAAGTGATGAGAGTATAGTTACGTACCAGCTCACCTGGCTCCATACCATTCTAAAGCAGTGCACAAGGCAAGGTGTGGCATTGTTTTTTTGTTTCGTTTTGTTTTGTTTTTTCTCTTTAGCTATGAATGACACTTTAGTCGTTTTTGTTTACAGCTCAAGCTTTGGGGACTCAGAATTAATACCTTTCATGTGAGCTTAGTGACAGCAAAGAGTTTCACCTGTTCTGCTGTGCTGTACCCTGGGTGCGTCGCTTCTCTGGCTACAAAAGTGCTGGGAGAGACAGGACTCAGACTTGACAGCCATGCGCCACCGTTCACAGTTGTGGTGCTCAGGCTGAGCACAGCGTTTGCCTTGTTACCTCCATGGGAACCTCTTGAGCAAGCTTTTGTCTCACATGGAGTCTGTTGCCCACAGTGTACTGGGAAGATCAGGTCCTCAAAGATCGTGTAATGATGCACAGCTGTCAGCATGTGGTTCCCAGGGCACTTTGCTTATTTCTCATAGGGCTTTTTTGAGGTTGACTTAGGCAGAACTCTTCTGAGCAGTAAGGACACCGTGCCTACCACTGAACTTTACTTCCAGTTTGCATTAACTAGCCAGAATGGGATTTTCTGAGAAGATTTCAGCAGAGGAATTGGAATGAAGATTATTACAGTGTTCTACCGCTAGCTTGTTTCCTTGGCTGCAGCAATGTTGGGCTACCTTGGGCGAGCCCTGTGTCCAGTACTTCTCTGGCTGCAGAAGTACCAGGAGAGACAGGACTCAAACTGGACAGCCGTGTGCCACTGTCCATAGTCTTGCTGTTCAGCCTGAGTACAGCCTTTGCATTGTTGAGAGCCGGCTTGGGAGGCTCAGGTTCTCACTCTGAAAAGCAGGCAAACCGTGCTGACCAGGGCTGGACTGGTCCATCCTTCAGAAGAGCCCAAGAAAGGTGCCATTTCCACTGCACTGCTGGGTTGAGGAGAATGGTGCTTCCTGGGCTTGGGTTTGGTTTAGAGGAAAGGTACAACTTTTTAATTTTTGTTTTCAACTTTTTAATTTTTAAATTAGAATCTTATTCCAAAAAGTTGCAAAAATAGGACAGAAAATTCCCCATCTTAGATACCTTTTACCTAGATTTCCTTGTTCATATTTATCACGTGTTCTATTAGATGGCTCTTCCTTCTCCATACAGATACATAAATCTTTTTGTGAAACACTTAAAAATTGCAAACATGTTGTCCCTTCCCCAAAATATTTCAACATATAATTCTAAAAATACGGCTCTTAAATAATTATACCAAAATCAGTGACAGCTTTGAAAAGTATCCTTATCTTTTGTTTTGTTTTCTTTTTTTCTTTTGGTGTTTTTGAGACACGGTTTCACTTTGCAGTTCATGCTGGCCTTGAACTCAAGGTTATCTACCTGCCTCAGCCTCCTGAGTGCTAGGCTTACAGGTGTGCAGCACCACAACTAGGTATTTTTTAAGCATACTAAAAATATTTTATTTTCTGTAAATGTATTTGGAGAGAGATTCTCAACCCAGTCCCAACCCATTATCTGCTATACCAGTTAACTTAAAAAATAAATAAATAAAAGATATTGTTGCTCTTCCCTGTGTCAGTAAACAGGACAAGCATGCTGGACCATTATCACTCTAGTTGGAAATAAAGACTACTGAGGCCAGGTCATGAGATTTTTAGAGGACCCCACTGGGCAAAAGGCAGGCAACCGAAAGTCAAACAAATGAAACAGGCACTTGCAGTGGACATAACACACCAATATGAATAAGGCATCTCATCCAGGCGCTTACAGAAACTAGGGGAGAGGGACAGGGGAGGCCCACCCAACTGCACGTCTCAGTCCTCATCCAAAAAACTTCACATCTCTGTGGTCTGAGAGACAGAAAATGTCTGAGTAGTCAGTCACTCTCTAGCATAAGGTAGACAAGCAGAGGAAGGCCAAGAGCTGGAAGGGGCCTTCCTGCCCCTCAGTAGTCCTCAACTAGTAAAAGTCCCTCTGTGTTCTCTGATGGTGATGGGCTCCCAAGATCCTGGCAGAGAGCCTTCAGTTCGAGCGGGCCTGGTGAGTCCCATTATGCCCTTTTGGCTATGCTGTTTTTCTGGCCTTTAGCTCCTGTTCGGTGGGCTGCTGGACAAACATCCAGGAGCTGTCTGGGTTCAGCCACAAGGAAGCATTGTCCTCAGTCTACACTCTGAGTGAAGAAGTCAGTCTCTGCTCTTAGGTGCTGCATGTGTGTAACTGGCACTCAAAGGCAAGGTGTTCCCTGAGGTGGGACCAAGTAAGGCAGTGCAAATACTTGAGTTCCACAAGTCATAGCAGAAGGGGTTGCACCTGCAGACACCCATGGGCGTGTTGTACAGACTCGGCCATGAGCTTGACTCTGTGCGAATCCTAGAACTCCATCCAGCCCTCGATATAGTCCTTGCTGTACTTGGATCCCTTTTTTTCTCTCAAGGCCACTGCTGCCTCCTTCACAAACCCGTCCTCAGCCTGAAAGAACATGCATCTGACCTCCCCGTAGGCCCTGCAGAGCTTGTGTGTAGGGGTCGGAAGCACGTGGGATGTGACCCATGTATGCGATACCTGGCACGACCTGCTTCTTGCTGCCTTGAGCCTCTTCTTTGGCTTCTTCCTGCTTCTCCACCTCTGATTTTTCTGTCCCTTCCAGAAACTCCTGCTCTGTCACTAGCTCAGATCCCCCAGCCAACATGCTAGCCAATACATAGAGCATGATAGGCCATTAAGCAGCTGGTGCAGTGGTACCATGTGCTAAAAGCACCATTATTTAACACACAGATTTTATTGAGATTTCACCATTTGTCCTAGTAATGCCCATTATAGCAAAAGAAGATAGGCTAGGCATGGTAGCATAAGCCTATAATCCCAGCATTCGGGAGGATGAAGCAGGAGGATTGCCACGTGGCAGGAGGCCAGTCTGAGCTGCTTGGTGAAAGCCTGTCTCAAAAACACAAAAAGGAAGGAAGGGGAAGTAGAAATTCACGCATTTCCCATTCTTCATATATCTTTGGCCTCTTGATCTGGAACAGTTCCTTTATATTTCCTGATAGGCCAGCCATCTTGTTAAATTTCCATACTTAGAGTTGGTCTGGTGTTTACCCACAGGGATTCAGGGTTATGCGCTGTGGTAGGCATTCCACGGATGTGCTGCAGAGCTCTGTCAGCATTTCACGTCAGGAGGTCCGTCTGTCCCATAGTCCTGTGGTCAGTGACACTGGCTGTCATGACTTAGTTGAAGTGGTCTCTGTAGGTTCCCCTAAGGCTGTAAGGCTGATGACTTGTGGCTCTTGCTGAATGCCAGGTGGTTTTAGCAGTGTGTGGATCTTGACAGGTGTTGTCAGTTTATTCTTAATTCATTTCACTGGACACCTCTGAAAATCTTGCGGACCTTCCTCCTAACCTCGTCGTGAGGCCACGTGCGTGCTGTGTTCCAGTGCAGCTCCCTTCCCGCCCCCAGGCATGCCGGATGAACAGCGGGAAGGGCTCCAGGAAGAGCTCATCGACATCATCCTCCTCATCTTGGAGCGGAACCCTCAGTTGCACTACTACCAGGGCTACCATGACATCGTGGTCACCTTTCTGCTGGTGGTAGGCAAGAAGCTGGCAACGTCCCTGGTAGAAAAGTTATCTACCCACCACCTCAGGTACCTGTGCAGAGGGACTCAGCGGGTGGACTTCTTCTCAGCCCCCTCAGGGTGACTGCTTGACCCTTCTTCTAGTCCGTTGCTCCAGCCTTGATCTAGCATTTGATCTGACCAAACTCACCCAATTGTCTCCCCCCAGGGATTTCATGGATTCCACAATGGACAACACCAAGCACATATTAAACTACCTGATGCCCATCATTGACCAAGTAAATCCAGAACTCCATGACTTCATGCAGAGGTATGGAGGCATTTATGTTTACACACACACACACACAGGGACATGCTGTCCCTTCTCGCTCCTTTCTTCCTCACAGATTCAGTCAGTTTCATCCCCATCTTGGGCTGTTAAATTTGAGTGTTAAGTTTCTCCAAGTTATCCTTTCCAGTCACTTGTGGTCTGTGTAATCGAGATTTCTGCATGATCTTGGAGCACTTTTTAGGTATTGTGCCCCTTTGGGAATGCAATGATGATATAGCTCATGCCTTGAAGATGTCACATCTGATGGGGAGAGGCGGATAAAATAAGATTGCCAGCATAGACTTTGAGGCTCTTGCTTAAGAGAAATACAGAGTGCTAGGGATTGAGAGGAGAGGAGGACAGGGCCATTGAGGACAAAGCCATCAAGGATGAGGACATCTGTGGGTGGTTTTATTTCCCAAGTATTAAGGAGAAGTGTTTCTTGCATATCCCTGGATTTTTTTAAATTTAAATAATGACTGTGTTTTAAGACAGTTTAGGCTATTGTGTTAACTGAAAAATTAACACAGTTGTATATTTTTTGCCTGAGAATATATGCCTGTGCCCTCACAAGGGTAAGTGTCTCAGAAAGAAAGCCACCCTGGTGTACTTCTCTGAGAACAGTTGTTTCTTATCCCACAGTTGACATCTGTTGAGCCAGTACACTGTTCTGCTATTAAAGTCATAACACATTTTAAAGACTTGGGAGGTGGGGGCAGCGATTGAGACAGAGTCCCACATTGTAGTTCAGGCTGGACTTGAACTCACTGTGTAGCCCAGGCTAACCTCAAACTCATGATCCTCCTGCCTCAGCCTCCCGAGTGCTGGAATTACAAGTGTTGCTACCACACCTGGCTTAAAGATTATATTTTGTGAGAAGATGCTAACTGTAGGTGGCCACATTTTCCAGAAAGTCTATCTCCCAAATGCTTCTCTCTCACCAGTGCTATGGCTAAAAGCCCAGAGAAGGGAAAGGGATAAGTGGGCAGGAAACCTAACATCTGGGTTTCTTTTACTGCTAGTGCGGAGGTGGGGACCATCTTCGCCCTCAGCTGGCTCATCACCTGGTTTGGGCACGTCCTGTCTGACTTCAGGCACGTGGTGCGGTTGTATGACTTCTTCCTGGCCTGTCACCCACTGATGCCCATTTACTTCGCAGCTGTGGTAGGTATAGTCCGTGAGCCAGCAACTAGATTCACCATCACCCTTCCAGCTTGATCTTTTCTTAAAGGGGACCTGGTGGTTATGAAAACAAGCAGAAGATGGCATTTCTAAGGTTAGTGTCCCTTGGCACGAAAATATTAATGAGGATGTCAGGGAGAAATGTTGGGAAATGCTGATAAAACAGATTTTTTTCTTTTCGTGTTTTTGAGACAGGGTTTCCTTATGCAGTTCAGGTTAACCTCAGACTCACAGTGATCCTTCTGCCTCAGCCTTCTAAGTGCTGGGATTATAGGCATACACCGCCATACCTGGTGTTGTTTTCTTTCTTCCTTTCCTTCTTTCTTTTTTTGAAGACAAGGTCTCACTATGTAGTTCAGGCTGACCTTAAGGTCACTATGTAGCCCAGGCTGGCTTCAAACTCACAAAACATGGCAATCTTTCTGCCTTGGCCTCTCTAGTGCTGGGATTGCAAGTACATGCCACCATCCCGGCTTAAACAGATTTCTTTACTGTGAGGCTTCTAAGTCTTAAAGTGCCCATGCGCTTTGTGAATAAATAGCCAGTGTTTCTGCTGATGTCCCCTGGAACTGTGCTCTGCAGCGCACATCATTAGGGAGTCATGGCACGGTGCTCGACGCACTCCCTCACCAGGTTTAGGAAGGAAGATGGGTGCTAGGCCAGGGCAGTACAGTGGCTTTCAGTGCTGAGGGTTCCATTATCAGAGGGCCGAGTGGCATAGAGGTGGGGACCTTGGAAAGTCCTCGTAGGTTCCTGCTAGAGCTCTGGCTTTGTGACCAGTAGTCAGAAGGAAGTCAAAGAGAACAGGAGAGCACTTGTCTCCTGTTTTGAACCGTGCTGTAGTAGAGCTCTGGGAATCTATCAGGGATCGCTCTCCTTTTCTTCCTAAAAGAATCTCCTGGGTTTCTCTGAAGACTGGGAGGACAGTTGAGTAGACACATGTGCCTTTCAATCAGGAAGTCTGCCCATATCCAGGGAGGCCAGCCCAGGGGGAACAGCTCTGAAAGTATGAGCCTTGCTTTTCCCTGGAGGGATAGGAATTTGTGGACATTCGGGCACCTCCCATCTCCCCCACCAGGAACCGAGTCTGTGTCTCCCCTCTGATGCAAGGCCTTATTCCTCACAGATCGTGTTGTACCGTGAGCAGGAAGTCCTGGACTGTGACTGTGACATGGCCTCAGTCCACCACCTGTTGTCCCAGATCCCTCAGGACTTGCCCTATGAGACACTGATCAGCAGGGCAGGGGACCTCTTTGTTCAGTTTCCCCCTTCCGAGCTCACACGAGAGGCAGCTGCCCAGCAGCAGGCCGAGAGGTGAGTGGGTGCAAGGTGTGTGAAGGCAGGGGCGGGGGGGGCTGACGTCTGGTGTCTGAGGGGCACAGGGCTTGGCCTTGGTTCCGGAGACCTCAGAGCCCTGGGTCTTCCTGAGGAAACAGCATGAGAGTGGCAGCCCTGGCCCATCCTTGCCGCGGCTTCCTGAGCATAGGCACGCACTCCTGTCTTCTCTCTTATAATGTACTGCTCCTGCCTCCCTCCTTACAGAACGGCAGCCTCTACCTTCAAAGACTTTGAGCTGGTGTCAGCCCAGCAGAAGCCAGACATGGTGCTTCGGCAGCGATTTCGGGGACTTCTGCGGCCGGAGGCTCATACAAAGGATGTCCTGACCAAACCAAGGACCAACCGCTTTGTGAAACTGGCAGTGATGGGGCTGACAGTGGCGCTTGGAGCAGCTGCATTGGCGGTAGTGAAGAGTGCCCTGGAATGGGCCCCTAAGTTCCAGCTACAGCTGTTCCCCTGAATTCAGCCACAGGGCCACTTCTCACAGTGCATCCAAGCCTTGCTCTTTCATGGAAAGACTGAGAGGGAGGAATCTCCTTCATTAAAAGGGTTTCAACTGAGGGTGTTCTGTTTCTGCCACCCTTCCCACCTGTCTGTGTTGGCCTTGGCTTAGGGGCAGCAGCAGAGTCCTGGGGCCTGGGCGCATCAATCAGCACACCTGAGCTCTGCTCTGCTGCCTCCTACCTGTTGGAGGATGTGGGTTTTTAGGTCCCAGCTGCTTGGGAACCTCTGGGCCCAGACTTAGGGGTGCCCACAAGAAGGAAGAAGTCAGGCCTCAGAATGAGAGGACAGGACTCCAGCCTGGAAGCCAGATTGGCCTTTGGTATTAGCTGGTCAGAAATCAGACACAAGAAGCGGGGCGTGGTGGTATGTGCCTATAATTCCAGCACATGGGAGGCCAAGGCAGGAGGATTGTAACAAGTTCCACGAGACCAGCCTGAGCTACAAAGTGAGCTGAGGATCAGTTTGGATTGCATAGTGAGACTTTGTCTCAAAAAAGACCAAAAAAACCCAGAAACAAACATTACTGGGTAAATCATACCTAGCTTCAGCTTAGAAATCACATTTCTGTACTGGCCATTTCCAGTACAGCAAGAAGGAATATTCCTAAACTGGTTTCCCTGTCTTCCACGCCCTACCCCATTCTCTTGTACAAGAGATATTATTTGTAGAAGATCCTTTTATTTCTATTTTTAGAATCATGTACACCTAACATGTAAAGTACTCACTTTAATAAGTTCCTTCATGGAAAAAATAGTCCTCTTCAGAAAGATGCTTCTGAGCTCCTGAGTTTGTTTTCTACTCAGCTCTAACATTTCACACTTGCCAGAGTTGCTGATATAAACAGACCCACACTTCCAAAATGCCCACCTCTTCACTGCCTTTCCTTCTTCCTGTTTTCTCCTCCCAGCCAGGCCTCACTCTCCTTGGCATTGTCTCGGTTTGATTTGTTTACTCTGTGGCTGGCCCTAGAAAGGGACAAAGCACAGCCTGAAGAGTGTGGCAGGGGTCAGCATTGCCCCGGGTTTCTCCAAGGACCTGCAGGCCTTGGGAGCAAGGGTGAGTCTCAGACCTGAAACAGCTTTCCTGGAAGTGAAGCCAGGTTGTTTTTATGTTAACTTTGGCTTGAAAATAGAAAGTGCCTTTTGCTCCTTTAAAGAATTGAGAGTGTGTGGAATGAAGCAGCCATGTACGTTCATCCTAGAAGGGTCTGTCTGCCACTCTTTTCTCTTGGCGGGAAAATTCTTCAAGTGGACATGCAGGAAGCGCTCCTCCCTGCATCCAGGCTGCTCAGCAGAGAAGTTTGCATGTCCCACTAAGCACTTTAAACCCAGAGGGGCTTGCAGTGACCATCACCCCTGGCAGGAGCCCCACCTGAGGGGAGTGCAGCCCAGGTGGATTAACTCAGTGGCATATGCATCAGGACAACAGAACTTGCTGCCAGGATCCAGAGGAGATGAGGTGGCAGATGTACCCAGTCTTGTCCTCCAGCAAGTTTGTCCTGGTCATCTCTACAAAGAACGCAGCATCTGCTCCCCGGCCATGAGCACTGGTGCCTGCTTGTGAATCTGAAGGAATCATGGGGAGGGGCGAAGTGGCCAAGGAGAAAATTCACATGGCAGCTTTGTTCACACCAGGAGTCTCCTCTGCTACTGAGAAGCATTGATTTACCTTCAGGTAATTTACTTATTCTGTAAAGAATATGTGTACATATTTTGTACAGAGACTTGTATGAAATAAACAACCATATGTGGTTACGAGTCACATCTTACTCTCTGTGCCCAGCCACTGACAGTGGACTCAGGCTGAGACCTCCAGTCCTGATGCTGCCCACAGGCCCTCACACCAGGAGACCTGGGTGTCTTTTGTCTCCTGCAGAAAGTGTAGCCTGCACACTAGCTGCTGTCAGCACTACCACAGCTGTGGCCACACGTGTGCAGGACCGCAGTCTGTCCTTAGCTCCGTGGGCTATTGTCTCAGCAGAGCCTGCTCTGAATGCAGCGCTGCCGCCTCAGGGTTTCCCTGCACAGAGCAGCGCTGAGAGCTGTGCTTGCCCTGCTTACCAGTATCCTTGTGACAGCCCTGCTGTGGGGCAGAAAGAAGCACACCACAGTGCTGTGTGCCTGTCACCTGTACCTGTGAGTCCGGTGGAGTCAGGAAGCATGATGTGTGGGGTGATATTAATGTTCCCTGGCCCACAGGAGATGGAAGGCCCAAGGCAGAGTCCCTACAACGTGGCTCCTTGTGTCCCATCATCAGAAGCCACCAGCCCACAGTTGGTAGGACATCTGTGGAGTACAAAGCTGTACTTCGCAGCCTTCTACAGCGCACACAGGATGCACAGAAGAACAGTTTGGCAAGTTCAGGGGCAGAGTCATTGACGTTGACAGTTGACTATAAAGAATGAATATTAGTTTGGTAACTGGAGAACTGAAAGATGATATGTGGCACAGAAGACATCTTGGTCTTGTTCAGGATGCAACTGAATGGTCACCAGAAAGACCAGCTAATTTAACTCTCCCAGGGTGGGACCTGGAGGTGGAGGGAGCAGTGTGAAAATGTGGATGAGATCCTGTGAGCTATTGGGAGGGTGGACACACAGGGCAGCACCTCTTCCAGGCTGCTCCTACTTAGCCCATACCTTAGTAAACTGAACTCCTGTTTCCCCAGGTCCTCTGCCATCCCAGCACGTGACAGCCTGAGTGGTGGACTCCTGGGAGCCACTGGATTTGCACTTGCCTGGGCAGAAGTATGAGCACCCCGAGTCCTTTTCTGCAGCTAGGATCTGCAGGACAGTGACTTTTGGAACCGAGCCCTGCTTTGCCCTGTAGGACTGCTGCTAACTTTTGTCTTTTTCCTTTTTATCAGTACCGGGAATCGAACTCATGACTGCCTGCTTGTAAGGCAGGCGCTTATGCCACAGAGCTAAATCCCCAGCCCCTAGGGACTGCTGCTCACTTTGAGTAGTTTTGGCATTGAATCACTAGATTTCCAGTTTGTGTCAAAACTCCACATGGTGTGCAAGGCTGAGGGGAACACAAGCAGTGTAAAAACAGCAGCTGACCAAACAGTGAGGGCTGTGGAGACAGTAAAGCCCAAGTGGCCTGGGGTCACAACTATGGAGATGCTTGGGCAGCAGTGGCAAGGTATTTGTGTGGATGCTGGCAGCAAAGGCACTTGCTTCACTCACATTCTCTGCTGTCTGTCCACAGTGCCTGGGGTCAGCTTTTACGTTTTGGCATCCAAAGATAATCAGTGACAGTGCTGTTCCAGATGCTGGAACACACCTGCCTATCCCTGACACCACACACCCTGGCATCTAGAGCAGACCCTGAACAGCAAAGGTGCCTCTGCTGTGATCACATCACAGTGCAGACCGTCTGTAGGCATCAGATGCCAGGTCTCATCAGGGCGCCAGGTACAGGTGGGCCACACTACACGGACAGGCATTCCAGGTCTGTGCATCTGTGCAGACCAGCAGAGTGGGTACAGGCACTTTGCCATCTTGCAAACTAGGATGGAGTTCCCTCCCTCACAGCAGCTTCATCTGTTCCAGAATTATCCCTATCCCTGGTGCCCACTGAGAGGTCAAAGGGAACAGCCAGAATTTCTGACAGTCTCACTGCATTCCTAGCTCCCTACCAATCCCAGATGTGACTTGCCCAAGAGCAATTTGCCCAACCTGAGTGTGTGTGTGCACGCACGCACACTCACTTGGCACAGTGGTCCTAGAGCCAGCAGATCATCTGATGCTGTTCGGAGTTCAGTACCTCTCTGTGTTCCCAGCCCATGATGTTCACACCCTTGCAAGGACCTCACATGCAGCCTTTCCTGGAAAACCATTTTAATCTTACACAGGTGAGATGCAGCACCAGACCCAGTGGGCTGTGCTCTCATACAGCCCGGTCTGCCTCCCCCTGAGCAGGTCCACAGCAGCAAGAGGCTGAGGCCCCCAACGGTGAAGACAGCAGTCACCTCGAAGCCAGCCGGGAAGTGCGGAGGGTGCTGTGCCGTAGGGGGTGGGAGAGTATAGTCTCACGGTGCTGGCAGACACTTGGGCAGCACACCCTCTGGCCAGGGATGTGTTTAGGGATGGTGTCCGGCAGGGGTAAGAGCTGTGCAGAAGAAAGGTCTGGCCAGCAAACCCCAGGGGAAGGGCACAGGCGCTTGGCAGATGTGATGCACAACAGCAGGCACAGGCAGGCCACTGCAGGGTTGGCTAACTGCAGGGATGTCTCACAGCCCAGAAACCAGAGCCCAATGCCCCTCGCCCAGCCCTGCCTATGAACTACTGCCTATGAACGGGGAGTCCGTGGGAACCCAGCTATCTTCAGCTCAGTGGCAGTTCTGACAGCTTGGGTGGCAAGGAATTCCATTCACTCGGCAGCGGCAGCCCCCACTGGTGTCCCCTGGGCCCTAGAAGGAGGAAGAAGGGCATCAGGCTGGTGAGGATGAACTACCCGTCATTCCGTCGCTAAGCTCGTGCTGCCCCTCTGGGCTGTGGCCTCCTGATGTGCAGGGAGGCAGTCGGGAAGGCCTCTTCTGGGCTCTGGAGCAGGCACTATGTTATGCATTGGCACGGCGTTCCTGCTGCCCCCATCTGTCTCCAAGTCTGCCTGACTGTGACATGAGCCCCCAGCTCCAGGAATGCATCCCAGACAAGGACAGCAGCTGATGAACACTTCCGCACCTTTTCATTTGGCACTGCTGTCACACCCATCTCACAGAGGGAAAAAACAGACTTAGAGATGACTTGTAAGTGCCAGAGCCAGGAACTTCCAACTCCAGACTGAGGCTTGTGGCTGTCCTTGCTTGTGGGCAGGCCTCAGAGGCAGCCAGGGCCAGGGGCAAGCGAGCACACACAGCCCTGACGGAATTGGCTTTACAGATGCTCAAGTGTGATCCCACATCACTCTCACTTGCCCTGAAATACTATGGTCCTTTTTTTTCCCCCCAGTGCTACAGATGAACTAGGGCCTCGTGTATACCACATCAGCCCATGTCACTGGGCTATTCTGCGAGCCCTTAGATACTTTTTAATCCATTTAAAGCCATAACGTGTCTAGTATGGTGGCACACAGGTATAATTCCAGCTACTCAAGAGACTGAAGCAGGAGGATCATTCACTGCAGGTCATCCTGCACAACTTAGGCCCAGTCTCAAAATTAAAAAATAAACCAGGCTAGAGATCTAGCTAAATGAGAGTGGCCCTCAGTTTCCCATGCCAGGGGAAAAAGATGTAAACAAATTCCAACCATGTGAGCTACACAACTGCAAGTATGGGGTTAGATGTGGACCCCTGGTGGCAGCTGTTGCAAGGCCCTCTCTGTGGCAAAGCCCACACCAGCCAAGCTCTCTGCTCCTGGAGGACTCACCCCGGGGCCCCAGCGTGGGCCCTTGGTGACCCAGCAGATCTCAGTGTGGCAGACAGTACAGCGGATCCAGTCACAGCCGTCCTTCTTCTGTACCACAATCTGGCACCGCGGGCAGTGCATGGCCTCGCCCTGCTGCAGCATCACCTGGGGTGGGCAGTGCTCAGTGTGGAGCCTACCCTACTCTTGGCTCCCAACACAACATTCCCCCCCGCCCCGTCCTTTGGGTCTCTCCTGCATCCAGACCCTTCCCTGCTCCTCATCTGCCCACCGCCTAAGGCCACCTCCTGATGGGAGTGTGGGAAGAGGGAGGTCCGAGACCCAGGGACACTTGCTCCTTTCTCCAAAGCGCCCAAAGCTTGGTCCCCAGGCACTAGGCCTGAACCTGCCTCACCTGCAGCATTTCTGTGGTCTGCCGGGCAGCCAGGTCGTTCTGAGCCCGTAGTGCCAGGTCATCCTGATACTCCTTACAGTTCATGCGCTCATGGATGGCCTGTGGTGTGAGAGGGTTCCCCAGGGGTCTGAGAAGCTAGGAGGGCTGGGGTGGAGCAGCCATCGGCACAAGGATTCAATGCCTCTGGATGTGTAGGGCAGGAGGCCAGGGAGGGAAGCCAAGTCATGTATGATGATACCTGCTTATCTGATTAAGCCCTAGGCACCTCTCCCCAGGCTATGGCTCCTCTCCCACCTCCAGGCCTGTCTGCCCACCCCACACCTTCACAGAAATAACCAAGGTCCTTCAGGCCTGTGGAAGGATCATATAGGGCTCAATCTGGATGTGGACAAAAGTTGAGGCTATGATGGGCTTGGCTCAGGCCCAGCCTCAGGGCTCTGTACAAAGCCTGGGCTCAGTTCAGGGTGGCCTTGGTATGAAGTCAGCCTAGGAACTTGGATTCGGTCAGGGTCCAGTATGGAACCAGAACTCAGTCTGTGACTAGGCCACACGTGGGCTCAGTTCAGGCTCAGGGCTGAGTCTGGAGCTGAGATTAGTGCTCAGTACTGGGTTAGGCCAGTATAGGGTTGAGCTCCGGCAGGGACCTATTCTATGGGGTCAAGGCCACTTCAGGGCCAAGCCAGGCTCTTACTGGTATGTACCCTTAAACTGGACATTCAGATTGATACCACAGCTCCATTCCTAGGGATCAGGCACTGAGGGCCAAGCCAGGGGTGATGGTACACTCTTGTAACCCCAGCATATGGGAGGCTGTGAATTCAAGGTAGTGAGTTCATGGCCAGCCTGGGCTACATAGTGAGATCCTGTCTCAAAAAAAGGCACTGAGGGCCTTGTAGGATGAGGCACCCAGGCTCTGTAGGCCCTCAGCCCCACCTTGCAGAGCAGGCAGTTGATTCGGAAGCACACGGGGCAGGTGAACTCATTGACGTCATCCTCAAAGAAGCACCAGCCCTTGCAGTCGGGGGTCTTGCAGTGGTAGCTGAAAGCACTTCGGTTTTCTGCAATGGAGACACTCAGGTCCAGGAAGCGCTGGTAATCCTCAGGGGGCAGGAGCTGCCAACAGTCCAGATTCTCGTTGCTCAGGGTTCAGAGACAACAGATACACCCCTCCGGCCCCATCACCACATGTTCCCCAGAAGCCCCCAGCCCTAAACTCCATCCTAGTCCCCAGCTCTTTGCTCTCTGCCACTGTTTTGTTTTGTTTTGGTTTTGTCTTTTTGAGACAGGGTCTCACCATGAGTTCAGGCTGGCCTTGAGCTTACTTTGTAGGCCAGGCTGGTCTGGAACTTGTAACATCCTCCTGCCTCAGCCTCCAAAGCTGGAATTACAGGCATGCAGCACCATGCCTGGCATCCTGCTAGTGTTTAAAAATGGAATTCAAAGGGCAGATGCAAAGAGCTCAGCAGATGGAGGGTGGTTATGGCTACACAACAGTGTGGATGTATTTTGATACCACAGAACTGTGCAATCCCAAATTATTAAAACAGTAACTTTCAGGCTATGTATTTTACAATAAAGAAATTGGGCAAAAAATAAAACACTGCAATGACAGAGATGATATGGGATCTTAATACATCACACTCTGAGAAAAAAACATGGCCATGACACTTCCACCTTTCCAGATTCATCAGAGCCTTTGGTACCCATTCCACCTCTGCAAATTTATCCTGCAAAACTGCACCCATGTAAGAAGCACCAACACAATGTTCCATGAAATGTCCCTTACGAACTAAGACACTGGACTCACTAAGGGAAGAGGCACACACAGGTTATAATGCCACAGATTTAAAATGACTTTTAGATTCTGTGACAAACCATCAAAAGCTGGTATAGCCATGCAGGCTCTCAAGACATAAAAGTTATGAACTCAACAACCCATCACAAGGAACGCCTGCACCCTAGCAGATAGAATGATGCAGATGCAGCATTGGGGCCTGGTTGACCTGCTCAGAAGCCCTAGCTAGATTAAAATCCCCTCAGCCTCCCTGTCCCTTCTCCTAAGCATCACAGAGAGAGGCCAAAAAGAAATGGGTCTGTGTTTGTGGCTGCCAGGTGGGGTCTCCCATCTCCACATTTTAGCCTGGAAACCTGCAATGCCCAATTCCAGGAAAGCCATTTGCCAGCAGCTGAAGTCAATGAATCCACCCCACCAATCCAAGTAATAGACAGGGAAAAGGAGGCTCAAACAAGCCCAAGAACTTGCTCAAGTCACCAGCTGTCAGGGCAACAGACACCTGGTCATTCACCAACAACACACATGGGCACGAGTGGGTAGCCCTAAATTAGACTGCTGTTCCCATCCCCTCCCACACGGACTCTGGCCTACACATGTGAACTGCTTTGGCCAATGATATGGCAGCACATGGGTCAGAGATCTGCAGACGGCTCCCACCCCTAGACTCCCAAAGCCCCTTGAGACCATCACTAGGCAAACAGGGCCTGAAGTGGATCAAAGCAGGAGGCCCAAGCTATGCCAGAGACCACAAGAACCATCACTGGGACCCACTGCTAAGCCCACAGGAGTGTGGCATGAGCCAAAGAGACCAAAAGCACCCAGCCAAGCCCAGACAGAATCACTGACTTCCAGACTCCTGGGCTGAGCTGTTTCAAGCCACAATGTGATTTGTTATAGGACAAAAGCTGACGCAAGGGCTTTCCATATGTCAAGCTACTTTACCATCATCACACCCATCTCCACTGCAATCTTTTGTAGCCCTTGAGACAGAAACTGACTATGTCCCTGAGGGAGATGAAGAAGTGGGGAGGGGGTGTGGTATCTGACCTGCAGCCACACACTGGGTTCTCCCCACTCTCACCCATTCTGTTTTCCATCAGGAAGGAATTAAAGTAACCAGTAAGTTTCAGCTGCTCCCCTAAACCCTGAGCTGCTGGGCCCAGCAACCCTGTATGGGGAGGCTCCTGCCAGGTGCTTTCAGTCCAGTCCCTGCACTCCAGCCAGCATCCTCCTCTCCTTACCGCCCGGATCTCCCTCTCCAGCAGCTTGCCTGGGCACGAGTAGGTGTCATCAATGAAGGGACAGGAGACCTCCGCCTCCTGGCTGTTGCGGATGGTGCCTTGCAGGCACTCCCTGGGGAGGCGAGGACAAGGTCAGCCCATGTCCCCTCCACAGGATCCCAGGCTCCTTGCCAGCCACCCTCCCTTCTCAGTTCTCTACAACCTGTCACCAAAGAACCCACCTCTGCCCACCTGCTAGTCCCTGCTGCCCTGTTCCATGCCCCCTTCAGGAACCCTCTTCCAGGCTCCCTAGCCCTAAAGCACACTCAGCATTCAGCCACTTGTCTCCCTGGAGCCTCCCACCTCATCCAGAACAAACCCAAACCCCTCAATGCCACTCACAAGAGTCTCTTCAGGCCCTCTCATCACCCACCAAAAGGACCTCCTTGGTCTCTCAGGACAGGCCAGACCTGGTGACCTTTGCTCCAGTACAACCTGCTCAGGGACACTGGACACTCCTCACCACAGGGGTCAGAGCCCACTGTTCCTTGGCAGTTCACAGAATTTATAAGATTGGCCAGTGAGTGAGTATGCAGTCAACCAGGACCCCCACAGAAGGCCAGCTGGCCCCATGTATTAGCTTTTGCCATGTAACAAATCACATTGTGGCTTTTTAAAAAAGCACATTTTCCAGCCCCAGGGCAGAGGGGCCACCACCAGAGACTGGGGGTTGTAGGGTGGGCTTAAGGCAGGCTTAAGGGCTAGGGCCCCAGTGCCTTCCCATAGGCCAAACAGCTAGAAAGGTTTAAGCTCTGGAGCGTGAATGTCTAGGTTCACCCCTAAACTTCTGTTGAGCTGGGTGACTCCCTTTCCTCATCAACAGACAGAGATGGCCTGCCTTGAGGCTTCTGTGGGTACTAGTGGGATGTGAGCACAGGCCCACTGTGGGGTTGAGTGGGGCCGCACCTGCAGAAGGTGTGCAGACACTCCCGTAGCACCACGGCCTCGCCAGGCGCCAGCACCGAGTAACACACAGGGCACTCGGCGGGCTCAGCATTCAGCACCAGGCTCCTCTGCTCCAGCTGCACGTGCTGCAGGTAGTTCCCCTCCTGCTGTTGCTGCTTCCTCTGGGCACATGGGTGGGGGCCACTGGGAGGTCAGGGTCTGAGCTCAAGCCAGGAGGGTCCCAGCCCTCAGGGTGGTGGGGCGGCCAGGTGGTCAGGGGCCTAGGAGCCAGGTGATGGGCTATGGTGGTAGGGAGGTCTGAGTGTGGGGGGTCTAGGTAAAGAGGGAGGGAGGTGGGGGGCCCACACGGGAAGGCAGGAATTGCAGGGGTACTAGGCAGGCCTGGTCAAGGGCAGTGGCAAAGCCAGGTGCACAGTGATGTTGTGGAGGAACCAAGATGGGTCAGGCAAGGCCTGCACTGGGTCTCAGAGAAACGAAGTGGCAATGGAGAGGGTATTCTGTGAGAGGTGGTAACACTTGGGGTCAGCCTGGGGTACCGTGATCAGTGCTGTGTCACCAAGGGAGAAGGCAGTTATTGTCCTGGTCACCCTCCCAAGGACCAAAAGAAACCAGGGTCACAAGAAGGTGGGTGTAGGAAGGTGGGGGTTAGATATAGTGGAGCTCGGGATGAGGTCAAAGGCAGGCAGGAGTGATCACAGTGCAGATGTGGTCAAGGTCACAGGAAGGGTGCTCAGCTCACAGCCCATGACACTTGTGGACAAAGAGAGCAGGCATCAAGGCACGGGCACAGTGTGTGGAGAGCTGTATGTCATAACAGGGAGGGATCTCAGCCCATCGGGGCAGGTCACAGGTGGCCATGAGAGCAAGGCAGCACGAGTGGGGTGCGTGGCACAGACGGCTCTCCTCCTGGCCCAGCCTCCTGTCCAGTATCCGCGGTGTCCCAGACTCACACCCACCTGCTGGTACTGACGCAGCGCCTCCTCCTCACCAGCCAGGCGTGCCCGCTCTTCCTCATCAGGCTGGTACGAGGCAGGCACTTGGTAGGCCTCGGGCCGTGCGCAGCAGCACATCTCACAGCCGGGCCGGGTGGGTTTGTTGATGAAGGTGCACCCAGGGCACTGCCAGCCCACCTGCCACAGAGGGGCTGTGAGTGGTGGGGTGGGCAGGCAGGGGCAGGCCAGGCTGGGGAGCACATGCGGTGCTTACTGGTGGGGGCTCAGGCACTCCATTGGGCTTTGCTCCTCCAAGTTCCTGGGGCGCCCCGGGCTTGGGAGGGACCCGCTCCAGGGGGCCCCTTGGCTGCAGTGTGAGGTCCTTGAAGCCCAGATCTGCGGGGAGGGTGGAATCCAGATTGTTCTCTGTGCCCACAGCCTAAGCTGGCCTATCTAAGCTACTGGCAGCCCTGTGTGCAGTAGGATGGGCACCCCAGCTCCCCAGGGCCCTGTCCCTAGCCCAGCCGTGATGTTCCTGAGCCAGGCACCCCAGGCAGAGAGGAACATGTCAGCTCTTAGGCAGGCCAACAGCCCAACAGAATCATTCCTGAGGAAATACTCGCCCAACCAAAGAAACTGGCCACAAGTTTTCCAGTCAATCAAAGGAAATCCAGGAGATGTGGAGAGGCCCGCAGTGCTATGTGCAGCTGAAAGACAGACACTGGTGAGACTGGCAAAACTGAAGTAAGACTCGTTGTGGAGGTCTCCGCCTCTAGCCCTAGCTGCTAGGGAGGCTGAGGCAGGAGGATAGCAATTTAAGGCCAGCAAGACACTGTCTCGTGGGAAATTTCACAAAGAGCTAGGTAGCGCGTAGTAAAGGGCCTGCCTAGCGTGCTAAGGCCTGGGGTCCATCCCCAGTACCACCAAAAATAAACAAAAATGGCAAGCACTGCAGCAACATCAGTTTCCTCAACTGAAGTCACACACAGTAGCATGAGAAAAACAGCTCTCTTTTTAAGGAAGTGCACACCTAAGCTTTAGGACGAAGGGCATTATTTTGCATCTCTCAAACTGTTCTGAAAATAATTTTATACAAGACAAAATGATAAAGCAAAATGAGCATGGTAAATTATTGCTATCCGGGGACTCCACACAAAAGGTGCATGAACTCTTCATACATTCTTAAACAATTCTGCAACTTTTCTAGAGGTCTGAAATATTACAGAACTAAAAAGCACAGAGTAAACATGTGAGAATGACCATCATAACCAATTTACAAATTGCATTTTTTGTTTTCGTTTTTGCTACTGGGGATTGAACTCATGACTTCACACTTGCCAGGCAAGTGCTTGAGCCACGGAGCTAAATCCCAGCCCTACAAATTGTATTTTTGAGACAGGGTCTCATTATATAGTCCAGGATGGCTTTGAACTCAGTGTATAATCCAGGCTGGCCTCCAATTTGGTACTCTCCTATCTTAGTCTCCCAGAATCTGGGATTACAGGTGTGCGCCACCACACCTGGCACAACATACAAATTTGGGAAACTGAGGAGCTGAATTAAACTCGCTCAACACCTACACTGCTGGTAACCATCAGAGCAAGAACTGAATGCGGGGCCACTCCCAAAGCCAGCTGTCCTTGAAATGGATCTGAAACACTCCCTCGCTGACGTCTGATGGCCTCTCTCACCCCAGGACAGCCCTGGGTGGGTCTTAACCAGAAGCCACTGTGAGGCCTCACCTTCCAACATCCGGAGCTGGCGCTGGCGCTGCACCTCCCGCGGGTTCAGTGACGTGTTGCAGGCTGACAGCAGATACAGGTAGGCGCTGTCCCCATTCCGCCGCACCCCATGGGAGTGCAGCGTCTCCTGGTCTCGGGCCAGCCGCTGCCCAATCACCCACTGCTGCAGGCTGGGGGGGAAGCCATAGTCCAGGAATACCTGGAAGTGGACAGAAGAGGGTGCACAGGGAGGGGCCGCGTGGAGAGCAGAAGCAGAGCCCACGGCGCCTCCCCTAGGCCTGGCCCTCAACTCACCATGTCCTTGAGGGAGGCCACTGTCATGTCAGGGCGTACCATGAGCCAGATGGTGACAGTCTGCACGTGGGCATCTTCTACGCGCACACACAGCCTGTGGAGAACAGGCAGGGCAAGGACGCTGGTCCCTTGCTGCGGAGCTTCCCCCATCCTGGGGTCACTGTGCAAGCCCTCCCCGCACTCCCAGGCCGCCTGGGCCCTCCCTACCTCTCCATACTCCTCTGCCTTCTCGCCTGGCTCCTTAACCAACAGCTGTCACAACCCTGTGCCAAGACTATTCGATGCCCATGAACTCATTTGCTTATTAACCCTTGTCATGAGCCCAGGAGATAGGTGCTGGCCGTTCCTTTCCTAGACACAAATATGTTACACAGCCTCTGCAGTGAGCAGTTAGTAACTGGTAGAGGCAGGCTTTAAATCAAGCAGTATTATTCCCAAGTGATTTATTTTATTATTTTATTTTATTTATTTCTGTAGTCCTGGGGAGGGAACCCAGATCCTCATGCATGCTAAGCTAGTTCTACTGGTTAGCTGCACCCCCAGCTAACTTCAGTACCAACTTTCTCAAGGATCCTCAACATTTTATGAAAGATCAAAAGCATAAAAATGAAGGGCTAAAAGGAAACAAGAAGAGCCTAAAGGACACATGTGGAGCACAGAACAGCAGTTGAGTCTAACCCACACCTTCAGGGAGGTACAGGGAGAGACACTGCATTGGCAAAGCTAGGGCAATGAGAAGCCATCACAGACAAGCAGGCGCTTGGGGAGGTCACAAGGGGCCTCTGGCTGCAGTGGCTCAATGAAGCAAACACTTAACAGGTTTAAGGCCCTAGTTTGAATCCTTGTACACATGCAGGCATGCACGCAGGACTGCACGCATGTACGCATGTGCACACACACACACACACACACACACACACACACACACACACACAAATGCTAACTGAACCTTTTGCCCTAACTATGAGTCATAGAAAAAAGATACTGACTATATGAGGTAGCAATTAATAAATCATTAATCTAGAATGGAGGAAAACTTTAGAGAGCAAAAGAGCACAATTAATGGCATAAAAATAAAAAAGAATGAGACTTAAGAAATTCAAAAATGCTGCAGCTGAGTATAGTGGCACATACCTATAATCCCTGGGTTCAATCCCCAGGATTGCCAAGAAGAAAAAAGAGAAAAAAAGAGGGAAGAAAGAAAACTCAAGGAGGGAAAGAGAGAGGAAAAGCCGGCAGGCAGGAAAAAGTGGAGGCGGGGGAAAAAAAATGCTATGTGCTCTGCACAGTAACACACACTTCCCCAGCACTGGGGAAGCTGAAGCAGGAGGATCACAAGCAGAAGCCCAGTCTGGGCAATTTTCAGTCACTTAGTGAGGCCCTGTACCAAAAGAAAATATTCCAGGAAATACTCTCCAAATTATTCATAAAATGATTCTGAAACCCAACCATCAAGAACTTGAGAGAACAAAATACAGAAACATTGAAGCAGGCAGAGATGGCAAAAGTTTACCATCTACTTTACATGTGAAACATTTTTCAAAAACAAGAAACTATAAACAAAAATAAGGCGGAGGGCTGAGGATTTAGCTCAGCAGCTCAAGCATTTGCCTGTTAAGCACAAGGTCATAAATTCAATCTCGAGTACCAAAAAAAAAAAAAAAAAAAAGGCTGGGCAAGGTGGCACCTATCTATAATCCCAGCACTTAAGAGGCTGAGGCAGAAAGATCACTGAGTTCAAGGCCAGTCTGGGCTACAGAATGACACTCTGTCTCAAAAAACCAAAAAAAGTAAGTAAATAGACAAAAAAAAAAAAAAAAAAAAAAAAAAAAACTAATAAATAAATAAAGAGCAAATGATGAACTTAAACTCTCAAAGTGCTGAGTACAGAACCTTTCTGGATTTTTTTTTCAATCGGATTTTATTGGTACATTTTAGACCCTCTGGATTTTTACCACATATTTTTTTTTACAATTGTTCTGCCCTAAAGTGGTCGCAATTTTGTGTGTGTGTGTGTGTGTGTGTGTGTGTGTGTGTGTGTGTGTGTGTGTGTATGTGACTTGTTTTTTTTTTCCTGGGGGAGTACTAGGGATTGAACCCAGAGCCTTCACATTGAGCCACATCCTCAACCCTTTTTTAAATTCTGAGATGGGATCTCACTAAGTCATTAAATTGTTGGGCTCAAATTTATGATCCTCCTGCCTCAGCCTCCCAGAGTGCTGGGATTACAGGCGTGTCTTTTTCCTCATCTTTCTAAAACAGTCAGCTTAGTTTTCACTGACATAGTAGTCTTTAGCTCTGTTTTATTGCCCAAGGTAAAAGCCAATTAAATTATGTTACCATAATAAATTCAACTGGCAAAAACAGGTCAGGGAGCAAACAGGTCAGGTCAGGGAGCACACCAGCTGACTGCTGGACCCCATCAGCTTCATGTCCAGAAGCTAAGAGAGCAAGTCTATATGTGAGGGGCCGGCTGCTAAGGAGTCTCAGAACACAGAGCTGGTGGGGGCGGGGTGCTGCCCTTGCTGCTGGTCCACACGCTACACAGGAGGAGCAGGGTGCTAGCAGATGCTGTCCACCAAGCCAGGAGCAGCAGCATGTATTTCTGAGACTCCAATGCCAGTTAACTGGAGGATCAAATTGAGGTCAGCAGGGAACTCAAGAAGACCGGGTGAGCCCGGCATGGTGGTGCACATCCTGTAATCCCACTGTTTGGGAGGCTAGGGCAAAAGAGATCCCTGTAAGATGAGGCCAGCCCAGGATACACAGCAAGTTCAAGGCTAGCTTGTCTACAAACTGAGAGCATGTTTAACACACAAAAAAAGCAAACTGGAGCTTTGTAGGGACTTCTGAAATCAGGAAGTGTGAGCCTACTTTGATCTTTTCAAGATTAGTTTGGCTATCTGGGATTCCTTGAATTTCCATCAAATTATCTGGTTTTGAAAAATAATAAACTGAGGTTTTAATAGGGATTGTTTTGATTCTGTAGGTCAGTTGGTCACTTTTTTATTTTTTTATTTTTTTAAGATAGGACCTCAATATGTGTCCCAGGCTGACTCTGAACCTCCTACCTCAGCATCCCCAGTGCTGGGATGGCCACCACACCTGGCTTCTGGCAGCCACTTTATTTACTTATTTGGTACTAGGAATTGAACTCAGGACCTCATGCTTGCCAGGTAGGTGCTGTGCCACTGAGCTGTATCCCTAGCACTTGGCAGTCACTTTAAATGAAATATTTAATTCTACTTTTTTTTGAGAACAGGGTCTTGCTATGTAGCCCAGGCTGGCCTGGAACTCGAAATGGTTGTCCTGCCTCATCCTCTTAGTGCTGGGATTAGAAGAATGATCCAGTATGCCCAGCTAAATCTACTTCTACATATGACTGAAGACAATACCTTCGAACTTCTTCGTGGTATTAAAAATTATATGGTGTTGGGGCTGGGGATTTAGCTCATCGGCATAAGCACCTGTCTTGCAAGCAGGCAGTCGTGAGTTCAATCCCTGGTACCGATAAAAAAGAAAAGACAAAAAAAAAAAAAAAATTATATGGTGTTACACACCTATAATTCCAGTACTCATGGTGCTGAGGCAGGAGGATCATCACAAATTCAATGCCAGCCTGGGCTACATAGTGAGTTCAAGGCCAACCTGAACTACATAGCAAGACCCTGTCTCAAAAAAAGGAAAGAGAAATCAAGCTTCACATTTATGATCAGTGTTTCCTGGGAGTGCTAAAGATGAGTAAATGGGAGGAAAAAGTCTTTTCAAATGGTGCAGAACAACTGCAAAGCCACATGCAAAAGAATGAAGTGGACTTCTGGTCACACAACATACAAAAATTAACTCAAAATGGACAAAGAACTAAAACTGTAAATGTCTTAGAAAAAAATACAGCGGTAAATATTTATGACTTTGAACACAGCAATGATTTCTCAACTACGACCAAAAACACAGATCAGGGGCTGGGGGTTTAGCTCAGCGGCATAAGCGCCTGCCTTGCAAGCAGGCAGTCGTGAGTTCGATCCCTGGTACCGATAAAAAGGAAAAAGATGAAACAAAAATACAGACCAATGAGACATCATAAACCCAAAAAGAAAAAAAAAAAAAAAAAATATATATATATATATATATATAGTGCTTCAAAGGACACCATTAATAAAGTAAAAAGAGGGGGCTGGGGATTTAGCTCAGCGGCATAAGCGCCTGCCTTGCAAGCAGGCAGTCGTGAGTTCGATCCCCGGTACCGATAAAAAATGAAAAAGACCAAAAAAATAAATAAATAAATAAAGTAAAAAGAACCCATGGGATGAGAGAACACTTTACAAATTACACATCTGATGAGCACTTCCTCTAGAATATATAGAGTATTCCTGCAAAACTGGGTAGGATGGTACATGCCTATAATTCCACCACCAGGCAAGCTCAGGCAGGAGTATTGTGAGTTCAAGACCAGCCTGGAAAACATAAAGCCTAAAACAAAACAAAACATAAAAACAAACAAAACACTGCACTCCCATAGCTGACCAATAAAAAGATAAACCCGGTTTAACAAATGGGCAAAAAACCTTGAATTGGCAGTTCTCCAAAGAAAAGATGCAAATGACCAATAAACACCTGAGAAGATATCCAACGTCTGTTATCAAATATTTAGGGAAATACAAACCAAACTTGCAATGAGATACTGCTCCCAACTCACTAGGATGGCGCCGAGCAACAAGCGTTAGAGATGAGAAAAGCTGGAGCCCATGTACTGCACCTCTGGGAAGAAGGCAGGGTGGGCCGAAGCAGGGAGTCTGGTGGGTCCTCCAGAGGCAAACTGTCACCTAGCAGCCCTGCTTCTCAAACCCACATGTCCTCAGCTTCATGCCAAAATTATACATCATGACCAAAAAGCACAAAGCCCCAAAATGAGAATCAACTGACAAATGAATAAAGTAAATGCAACTTACCCATACAAGACAATTGCTCCTTGATGATAAAAAGGAAAAAGTTCTGATATGTGCAAAAATGGACAAATCCAGAAAACACAATACTTCGTGAAAGAAGCTGGGTATAAAAACCTAAGTGTTGTAGGATCTAGTTACATGAAGTTTCCAGAAAAGACAGATCCACTTGGGCTGGGAAGGTCAAAGATAGGAAAGACTGCAGATGACTAGGTTTTCTGTCTATGTGAGAGACTGTGGACTGAACCTAGGACTTTTGCACTGAGCTACATCCCCACCTTCTTTTTTGTATTTTACTTAAGACAAGGTCTAAGTCACTAGCAATCGCATAGGTGTGGCTCCTGGTTCAGCTTCCCAGGAAATGCAGGAATTATAAACATTCACCATCATGTCCAGCTGACTCTGAGTTTTCTTTTTTCTTTTTTTGGTACCAGGAATTGAACTCCGGGCCTCACATCAGGCCAGTGCTGTGCCACTGAGCTATATACCCAGACTTGCCTTTTGTTTATGGAATGATAAAAATATCTAAAATTGACCATGGGTAAAGCTGCACAATTCTGACACGTGAAAAATCATTACAATGTGTACTTTGAGAGACTAAGCTATTACATGGAAGTAAATTTTATTTCCATAAAACTGTTATAAAAAATCAAATGCAATTCACCAGGAAAACTAAATGACCATTATCTCACCATACAGCAATTTTAAAATGCGGTTAAAAAAAAAAAAAAAAAGCCACAAACATCAACATTTACTGAGTGATCCACATGTGCCAGGCACTGAAGCCTCGGGGCAGAGGCTGGCAGTGTCCCTCTCCCTTTCTCCTTTGCACGCCCTTCAGTCTAGAATTGCAGACCTGGGTGCTTTCACAGCCTCCTTTTGAGTTGCATATAGCTGTGAGAACAAACTGACATCTGGTTCATAGGAATGAGGGCCAAGTATGCACAACCTCAGGTATGCTCTTGGTTAGGCTTGTTTTTTCAGTGTTGGGTATGAGACCAAAGCCTTGCATGCTGCCTTCCTTTTTTATGAGGAGCTTCCCTTTCCTCCTGATGTGCTGCCAGTAGGAACAGCTATTTTGAGCCATGAAGGAAAGATGAGAAGGAAAGCCATGAACAACAGAACCACAAGGCATAAGCAGGAAGACCATCTGCAGATATGGGGAGCAGAACCTCCAAACCTACACTGTCTGCCTTCAGTGCAGATTTATTTACTACTGTTACATCCTTTTTGTTCTATGAGGCCTAACAACCTAATATACTTCCTTTGAGTTTGAGATGGCTACTGTTATTGTCCCATTTTAAAAATGAGAAAACAGGGCTGGGAATATAGCTCAGTGGCACAGTGCCTGCCCGGCAAGCATGAGGTCTTGAGTTTGATTCCCAGTACCAAAAAGAGAAAACAAAGCTTGAAAGGTGAAAAACCTGCCCTATTCCTCACAGTTGATTAGGGACAACTACAAGATTTGAGGCTCTTAAGGCTCCTGACACCAGAACTTGCTATTAAAAATAACTATTGTTAGGGGCTGGGGATTTAGCTCAGTGGCATAAGCGCCTGCCTTGCAAGCAGGCAGTCATGAGTTCGATCCCTGGTACCGGTAAAAATGAAAAGGCCAAAAAAAAAAAAAAAAAAAAAAACTATTGTCAGCGAGCATGGTGGCAAAAGACTGTAATCCCAGCGCTTGTGAAGCTGAGGTAGGAGGATGGCAAATTTGAGCCCATACTGGGCAAATTTAGCCAGTCCCTGTCTCAAAATAAAAACTAAAACAAGAGCCAGGGGTAGTGGCACATGCCTGTAATCCCAGCACTGCAGAGGCTGAGGCAGAAGATTACCCAAGATTGAGGCTAGTCTGCTCTATGTAGTGAGTTCAAGACCAACCTGAACGCCACAGCAGGACTTTGTCTCAAATAAACAAATAAATAAATAAATAACAAAAAAGGGATGGGCCCTGGGTTTAATCCCCTAGATTGGAGGAAAAATAAAACTATTCTAGGGGCTAAAGTCAAAATAAACAAACAAAAAGCTGGGGTACACAAAGCCTTAAGCCTCAAGCACTCCTCACCTGATGTCCCGTGTCGGGGGGACCTCCGGCTTCAAATGCACACTCAGGGACACCTGCTGCTGTGCCAGCCACGTGGCACACTTCACAGCCGCCTGCTCATCCCCTCCGGTCACCGCCCGGGCAAGACTCAGGGCCATCTCCTCCGCTGAAATAGGGTAGGATGCGCTGGTTAACACTGCACTGACTCAGGGCACTAAGGGTGAGGGGGTGTTGAAGGAGGTGATCTCCAATCTTTCCTTGTACACCCACAAATCCTCCCATGACCCACTGAAAAGTCTCTTTCCCTGCAAAGGAGGCCTTCTCTGATCCTACCCCTCCTCACCCTAGTCCCTTCAGCTTACATTTTCCCTTACTCTCTGTCTTCCATACATCCATTCATTTACCTGGCAAGCATTTACTGAGCTCCTACTTGTACCACTCACTGCTCCAGGAACTGGGATCCAACAAGGATTAAGACAAACAAGAGTCCCTCTCCGCCCAGTCATCCCAATCCCGCTACAAGGCAGAAGGGAACATGTCTGACAAGAAATGGGCAAGTTGGACTGCGGTCCATGCTGGCAAGAGAATAAACAGGATGAGGAGATGAGAGAGGACCCCACCCCTCCACCTGGAGGCAGCACTGAAGCTGAGACCTGAAGGTGGCACAGCTGGACCTGCCAAGCTCAGCAGGAAGAGTGTGCCAGGTGGTAACAGTGAAGGCCAAGCAAGGCCGGGGCAAGAAATAAGTTCAGAACCAAAGCTAGGGGGCTCCAGGACAGTGAGGAAGGGGTGAATGAAAATAAAGGGGAGGTCCCACAGGTCTCTGCGATTGGTTCTAAGAACAGAGCGGGGAAGGGCTGGAGGAGAGGCAAGGCCCGGGACACTTAGGCCCACCGAGATCTGTCTTCCCACCAGCCCGGGAGTCTCGTCCTTCAAGGGGTTCCCAACCTCAACTCGGAGCTGACCCAAGACCTCAGGGCCCCAAGGGAGGAAACTGGGCGGCGGGAAACCCGGCAAGGCGGGGTAGTGCAGTGTCATCCCCGCCCGAAGGCCGCCCCCTCCAGTCAGCGCCCACCTTTCTTGGTCTTCTCGTCCATCTGGCCTGGCCGCGCCCATCCCCCTAGGGGCAGCAGCTCTGGAAAGCGCTATCTCCGGTCACCTGGGAGAGGCAGCGGATCAGTCCCGCGCTGCGGAGTTCCCGGCGGCAGTCTGGCGGCACCACATCCCGGGCCCCGCCCGGGCTAGGGAAGGCGCCGGGAGCCCGGCGGAGACAGTGGAGGGCGGGGGACGCGAGGCCCACCCCGCAGTAGGCCAAAGAGGAAACGGAGCGGGCGAGCCCGCGGAGCCCTGGAGCCCCGGGGAAGGTCCTCCACTCTTGCCCAGGCGCCCGCTGGGCACGGGAAGTCAGCTTCACGCCACGCGCACCCGGGATGATCCTGTCATTTGGAGGCCTGAGGAAGGCAGCTTGGGCGGAAGAGAAAGTGAAAGTGGCGGCTCCGGAAATGGGACGCCTGGGAGCCGGAAAACTATACTCTCATCCGGGACTCCCGCGCGGCCCACCTGGCGGCGGGCCGCAAGCGCCCAGACTGCCCCAGAGCCTTCACCCCGCTGCGGGGTCTCGGTGGTCCCAGGCGCTCGGTCCTCTGTCCTGTGCGACCCGACCCGGTCTCCCGGACTGAGCACAGATTCCCCGACCCGGGCTCACCAGGCGACCCACGCCACAGGCGGAGAGGCTAGGGCCCAGGGAACTGGCCTGGCTGGGCAGGCCCTGGAGGGGCGTGGCCGGGGCTAGGAGGGCGGGGCCTTTCAGAAGGGGCGGTGCCCCAGGGGGCGGTGCCTGGAGGCCGCGTGGGCGGGGCGGATCCGCGGGGTAACAAACTGCCGGATTCCCTGCAGGGGACCGGCTACTGCCTGGACTCTGTGGAGCTCCCCTATGAACCAGGTCTACACTCGTTCACCCAGACCCCGGCGCATCGGTGATCAGCCTGATCCTCGGGTTCGTTTGCAAAGGAGAAGACGAAGGCTCCGTTTAGGAAATGCCCAAGGCCACCCAGGTGGCTCTGAATCCAGGCGTGACAGGCCCAGGAGTTGGCCCTCAAGCAAGCCACAGCTCTGTTTCTTTATCCGTTGATGGGAATTTGCTTTCCCGTGGCAAAGGCTGGGAGCCCTTTCCATCTTCCTGCCCCGTTTTTCTTCCACTGATCCCGCAGATCAGTAGATCCTGTGGGCCCTGGCTATAGAGCAGATGCCCAGCTGTCACCTCCTCCGAGATATCCACTGCGCCTCCATCAGTTCTCCAACGTTTGGGACGGGAACCAGCCTCCTCTTCCAGCTCTTTGCTTCTCTTTTGCATCGTTCTTTCCCGCAGCATTTTCGCGGAGCCGCCAGAATGTCATATTACAAAGTAAATCAAAGCAAGTCGTGGTGTGGTGAGTGTATACCTTAAATCGCAGCACTAAGGGAAGCTGAGGTATGAGGTCTAAAACTCAAACACAGCCTGCGCTACAGTGAGACTGTGTCTCAAAGCCTGAAGTTGTAGCTCAGTTTGAAGCCCCTGAGTTACAATACATAAACAAACAAATAATAAAATCAAACCCATGTCACCCCAACTGAAATAGTCCCATCTCAGGCTGGGTATAAATTTTCCATTTTCTTGTCTCGGCCTCCCAGAGTACTGGGATTACAGGCATGCTTCACTTCTGAATGACCGCAGAGATTTCATTCCATTTTTTATTTTTATTTTTTTGTTTGTTTGTTTGTTTGGTTGGTTGGTTTGGTTTGGTTTGGAAGTTTTTTGGTTTTTTGAGACAAGGTCTCACTATATAGTTGAGGTTGGCCTGGACTCATTATGTAGCCCAGGTTGGCCACGAACTTTCAGCAATCCTCCTGCTTCAGCTTCCCCAGTGCTGGGATTGCAGGTATATGTCACTATGCCCAGCTTCTATCAGAACCTTTAAAACAAATAAATATAATAATCAAAAATCAAACTCAGGACTGGGGATATAGCTCAGTGGCACAAGCATCTTCCTGGCAAGCATGAGGTCATGAGTTAGATGCCCAGTACCCCGCCCCCCCAAATTCAAAAGCTCTGGCTATGGACCAGGGGTTTAGCGCAGAGGTGTAAGTGCCTGCTTTTAAACATGAGATCATGAGTTTGATCCCCAGTACCAAAAAAAAAAAAAAAAAAAAAAAAAAAAAAAAAAACTCTAGCCAGGCATAGTGACACATGCCTATGATCCAGACACTCTGGGAGGCTGAGGCAGGAGGAGTATAAGCTTGAGCCCACCTTGTACAATTTAGCAACTTATTTTAAAGTAGAAAATAAAAAAGCTCTGAGGTTACAGTTCAATGTGAAGTCCCTGGGTTCAGTCCCAGTTCAGCAAAAACAAGCAGACAAAAAAACAAACTGATGGCTTATGTTTCAACAGCCATCATGAAAACTAGAAGACAATGAAATGAATGCCTTTTTCAAAGTGCTGAAAAACCAACAGATTTTCAGTAAAAATGTCTATTAAGAATGAAATCAATCTCCAAGTCATGCATGAAGGCTGAAGCAAGAGGATTGCTGAGAGTTCAAGGCCTACAGTGTCCCACTTGTGGTTCTAAGCGCTGTGAAGAAACAGAAAGCCAGATAAGAGAGCTGGGCTTGGTGGCACATACCTATAATCCTAGCACTCAGGAGACTGAAGCAGGAGACTCACTGTGAGTTTGAGGACAGCCTGGCCTACATAGTGAGTTCAAGGCCAGCCTGGACTACAGAACAAGGACTTGTCTCAAAAAATGGCTGGGCTTGGTGGCTCATGCCTGTAATCCCAGCACTTGGGAGGCTGAGGCAGGAGGATCATTGCAAATTCAAGACCAGCCTGGGCTACAAAGTGAGCTCAAGGCCAGCCTGAACTACATAGTGAGACCCTGTCTCAAAAAAGATCGAAAAAAAAGAAGCGAGAGGATGAGAGATCGAGGCTGTTCTCCTTTCTCTAGGAAGCTGGCTGCTGCTGTGGACCTCTGAGGATGAATTCCCACCCTCAGGAACCCATCCAGGCTTCCCTGCCACATAGCTTATGTACCCCTTTCACACTAGCCTGGGATCAAATTCCACAGTCAGAAACAAGCTTTGAGTTCCCAACAAGTCAAGTCTCCCCAGCACAAGGATTCTCTCTTGTATGAAGACACTGGGCCCCAAATGTTCTGACTCAGGTCTGGGGAGGGTCAGGGACCTGCTCTTGAAACAAGCACGCAGGGATGGGGGAGTCACCCAACCAACTGCATTTGGGAACCTTCTACAGGGACTTCAAGCAGCAGCACAAGACAGAGCAGGCCACTCTGCCAAGAAATCGTGGGATTCAGGACCAAACCAACCAGTCAGAAGACACAGCACTGAGGAACTTAGGAAGGCATACAGCTTTATTATGCTAGCAGACTGATGGAAATCTCAGTTCCAAATCGTCAGCCCCATTGTCATGGTTTATGTCTGTGTCCCCCAGGCCTCATGAGTTTGCATTGTGCATTTGTGATTGGTTCATTGTCTAGTGCTTGGATTGATGGTGTCAGTGCTACACCCACATAGGGGTGGAGCTAGGATGTGATGTAATGGCAGGAAGAAGGTGTGTCTTGCTCTTTGCCTGTTCCTGCTTGCTGTTTGCAACTGCCATGAACTGTGGCCCAGCCATGCCCACCTGCCTTGGAGCCAACTGAGTATAGACTGAAACCTCCAAAAACTGTAAGAAATAAACCTTTCCTTTCCCAACTTGGGCTTCAGGTATTTTGTCTCAGCAATGAGTAAAAAGTAACTAAGACAGAATTTGGTACCAGGAGTGGGGTCTTTTGCTGTGACTATACCTGACCATGTTTCTTGAGAGGCTTTGGAAATGGCTTGTGGGCAGAATTTGGAAAGGTTCTGACATGTCACCTGGATGCATAGAACTAGAGAAGCTAAGGCTGTTCTGTATAGGAAATTCTGGTCAGAGATCAGGAGACCAGAAGGCTGATAGAAAGCCGGATGGTAAAGACCAGGCTTGGGAGGTTTCTGCTGGGAAGAAGGACTGCATTGGTTGTTAGACTCCACATGATGTGTGTTATGGCTTAGCAGAAAGTTTGTCTGCATTTTGCTCCTGCCCAGAGACTTTGCCTGAGACTGAGACAAAAGGCAATGGACTGATTAATCTTGAAAAGGAAATTTAAAAGCAATCAAATATTGAGTTGTGGCGTGGCTATTGTTGGGGGCTTTTAGCCAGCTTTATGCAAATCAAGAGATAAGAGCCCAGCAGGATAATTTGCAATACTGTGAATTTGGCCAGAAGGAAAATTCCAGGAAGGCTGTGGATTGTAAAGACAGAGTTGAGATTTTGAGTCCAGAGGAGAAACAGAGAGATAAGAAAGATGGCCCCAGGGCATCCCAGGAAGCAAATCCCCACCCTGTGCAGCCTCACTACAAAGGTGAAAGAATTTGCTCAGAGGGAAAAGCTGCAGAGAGCCATGTTCCAGAATGGCAACAGCGGCCACATGAGATTCCAGAATGGCGACAACATAGAGAAGCTTTTTCTCACAATCAGGTAAACAGAGCCCTGCGATCCAGGCAACTGACCCCTACAACCAAGAGAGAGAAAAGCCTGGCTACTGCTCCAGCTAGCAGCAAACCTTGGTGGCATCCACAAGGTGCTGATTTTAGGTGCAAGGAAAATACACGAATTCTGAGGGTAAGACGGCTTCCACCTTGATTGTAAAGGGTCTGGGAGGCCAAGCAGTGTGCCCCTGAGAGGGCAATTTGTGAAGATGTAAAGGTGAAGCCAAAGGTGCAGTGGAGACCCCAGAAGTTTGGAAAAGCCGGGAATGTGCCAGGAAAGCTGCAAAAAGCGAGCAGAGAGGATTTAAGAGAGAAGCTGTGGGAGCTGAAATCTCTGGAAGTGCCCTGAGGGTGGAATCACCCAAGCCTTTTGGAGCTTGCAATCAGTTTGCTTCAGATGCTGAGCATGGAACTCTAGGACCTAATGTTTGTACTATTGGATGTTGGACTTACTTTGTTTCCAATGCTTTATATTCCTGTTTGTAACTTTTGAAATGGTAATGTTTATCTTGTGCCTTTGCATTTCAGAAATGTTTAACCTTGTTTCATTTGTACAGGCACTTACAGTTAACAGCTTGCCATAGATCTTGGAGGAGACTTGGGACTTGGACTGTCCAGCAATGCTGAAACTTAGGACTTTGGCAACTCTTGGAGGTGGACTAAATGTCTTTTGTATAAAGGATTTACATGAGTCCTGGGGGCCAGGGGTGGAATGTCTTTTGTATAAAGGATTTACATGAGTCCTGGGGGCCAGGGCTTTATGTTTGTGTCCCCCAGGCCTCATAAGTTTGCACTGTGCATTTGTGATTGGTTCATTGTCTAGTGTTTGGATTGATGGTGTCAGTGCTACACCCACATAGGGGTGGAGCCAGGATGTGATGTAATGGCAGGAAGGTGTGTCTTGCTCTTTGCCTGTTCCTGCTTGCTGTTTGCAGCCGCCATGAACTGTGGCCCAGCCTGTGGCCCAGCCATGCCCACTTGCCTTGGAGCCAACTGAGTGTAGACTGAAACCTCCAAAAACTGTAAGAAATAAACCTTTCCTTTCCCAACTTGGGCTTCAGGTATTTTGTCTCAGCAACAAGTAAAAAGTAACTAAAACACCTATCTTGGGGAAAAACAGACATTTATGCATATTTTAGGCAGGAAGTGCAATAGGCTATAAGGAAGTATGAAGAAGGCTGGTAACAGGACCTTTTATAGTTGGTTACGCATGCCTCGTTACATTTTGCTAGGCAGAATTTATGTTATGTAAGCTAATTGGGGTTACTATCATATAACAAGGTCCTGGTTATGGAAAGCAGGAAGAATCCATCATTGTCTAAGACTGAGCCATGCTGTTCTTAAGGTAAAAATTTGAAAGCAAGCAAAACATAGTAAGATGCACTGTCTGGCTGGGTTATACTTATCTTACAAGCTGCAGCTGGCATGGGGGATGTCAAGGCGAGCTGTTTTGTAATTCTGTCCTTGTGGGAACAGGCTACACTTCCCAGTCCCATCCTCCCCACTACCATCCTTGAATAGAGTTAGAAATACAAGCTTTAAAAGTTTCTTTTTACATTTAAAATTGACCTTACAAAGGGTCAGAAGAGTCTCCAGCTCAGCCTTAAAGACTGGGCGGGGCAGAGCTACCTAGAGAGAGGGGAGACAGCTGGAGGCCCCAAGCACCAAGCACTTTTGCCAGGAGCCTGTGATCTGCAGGGCCAGTTTTAGATATGCAGTAGTAATTTTATAGGATCAAATATATTTCATATAAACATATATGTACTTTGTGACAGTGAGGATGGAACCCAAGATCTCCCGAATGCCAGGCAAATGCTGCACCACTGCCCCATATCCACGTATGTGTAGTTTTAAAAGGTCAACATGGTAGAAGTCTATAATCCTGGCACTCAAGAGGCTGAGGCAGAAGGATCACTGTGCGTTCCAGGCCAGCCTGGACTACATAATGAATGAGCTCAAGGCCAGCCTGGGCTATACAGCAAGACCTCATCTCAAAAATAAAAACAAAACGAAATCATTTTTCTGCCTGCTAGATGAGGCCACGTGACATGCTTTGGCCAACAGGATGTTCGCTATGTGACACAAGCACAGCTCACACGCAGGGTCTTACCCTCTCCTGCTGCCTTTTGGAACCACATGGAGTGATAGCTCTGCCCGCTGTGCTAGGAGACAGCTGGATTACCCGCCCTGGCCTGCGATTGCACGGGAAGGGGCACATGGCCCATTGCGCTTATGGATGTGTTGGAAAGTCTGTTAGGGAAACTTCCTGGAAAACTTCCCTGCCAAGAAAGAGTTATGGGGACAACAACTGACTCTCTTGTAGGCTTATGATGCCAGGCACTACTTGTCTTGAATGCTTTACTTCATTCAAGTCTCATGAATACTATTGCCTACTCCCCTTGATAGAAGCACAATCTGAAGGCACAGAGTAAGAATCTTGCAGAGCATCAGATAGCAAGTGAATGCTAGAACTAGGATTATGCTGGAGTCAGAACTGTGTGTGGGTGTGGGTGTGGGTGTGGGTGTGGGTATGTGTGTGCAGTACTAAGGACTGAACATCATCAGCCTTTACGTTGTTATTTTGAGACAAGATCTAAGTCACTAAATTGCCCAGTCTAGCCTCAAACTTTTGATCCTCCTGCCTCAGCCTCATAATAGTCCTAGGACCAATTACACGCATGGACCACCACACCTGACTTGGAGCCAGGATTTTGCTTAAGGCAGTCTGACTTCAGAGTGTTTCTGAGTACTGCAATGCCACCTTCCTTCCTGTGACACAAGTGACTGCTGAGGCCATTGTGCCAGCTGTCTCCAGGAACAACTGAGCATGGGACAGGAGGCAGGAGAGCTGGTCTCCTTGTCAACAGCTTGGAAGCCACCAGCGCTGATGGCCACACCATTCACTGCTTCCTGTAAAACACATTTTCTTCTGCTTCTGTCACTTGTTTTTCTGCTGGCAACTGAATCCAGGGCTTTGTACACACGAGACACTTCATCACTGAGCTGCGCCTCCAGCCCTTGCCTCGGTCACTTTGACTCAGGAAGCCCCTCAACTGGGATGCCACTGCCTACAGAAGAAACAGTGTTCAGGGAGATCCTGGGGTTGTGGGGGAGTCTGTTCTCACGGACTACTCAGCTGTGGTTGGGGTAAATGGCCTTTACTGTGGAGCCAGGTTTGAAAGCAGGGAAAAGATGCAGGGTAAGACATGGTAGAAAAGGGTGGAAGAAATCTTACAGAGAAATAAAAACTGTTTATAACTCTGCTTTATTAGGCACAAGAGGAAATGATATGGTCTGAAACACATAGTGTTAACAACTACAGTCCTAGACCCTGAATGTTCACTGAACAGGGAGACAGGCTTTGCACTGATTCCAGACCAGCAGATCCTGCTAGTCCTGCCTGTGAATCTTGGTGCTATCCTTATACTAAGCCATGAGGAGAAGCAGCCTCAGGTAGTATTCTTGTTCTTCCGGCCCAAACTCTTGCCTCAGGCTACAAGGAGAATCTCTCAGTCAAGCCAGGCATAGTGGCACATGCCTGTAATCCCAGCTCTTACGAGGCTGGGGCAAGAAGATTGCTGTGAGTTCAAGCCCAGCCTGGGCTACAAAGGAGTTCAATTCCAAACTGAACTACATACCAAGACATTGTCCCAAAACAGAGAAAGATAAAGAATTTCTCCATCAATCTGGAGGTTAGAACTGGTGGTGTACAATGCCCAGCCTGGCTGGGCTCTGCAGGCTTAGCTGCCGGGAAAGGCCAGGCACTTTTGGTAGAGATGCTTGCTTTCCTTTCTTTGCCAGCCTCTAGGTACCAAGGCAGCTGGGTTGCTAGACACAGGAACTGTCCTGTGGATACAGGGACTTGGCACCAGCACAAGTGGAGGGCGATACTAGTACTGAGTGTGCCCAGGTGGACTGGCCCATTGGTGTGTGCATGTATCCATCAGCTCTGGAGTAGCAAGCATGTCTCCTCTACCCACTGCTATGTAACAGTGAGGACAGGGTGGCACACAGTGTGCACAAAAGCAAGATGTGTAAGAACACAAGTGTGCAGGCGGCCCATGCTTCCTCCTGCCTACAAGGCCATTGAGGTTGGGCTCAGGACAAACCTTAGAGATCCTCAAACTCAGCCCACTTTTTGCAGCTGGGCATCTATCAGGGTGGCCTAGCTGTACAGACCCACCTCCCCACCACTCTCTTCCTCCTCGGCCACCTCCAGACCTCGCCCATCAGGGACCACCTGGTCAGCGTCCCTAAGGTGAGATCGAGACAGGACTAAAGGGACTGGGTCCCCCTGTAGCCAGGGGTGCAGCAGGATGCCTGTGGCCGTGAGCCTCTCGGATGGCTCTCGCCGAAGGAGGCAGCGGACCAGGCAGCGGGCTGGGGCTGAGAGGCCAGCAGGCAAGGTAAAGGCACCACGGCGGATCTTGCCAAAGAGCAAAGTGGGCTCTGAGTCCTGGAAGGGGTAGTGGCCAGCCAGCATGGTGAAGAGAGCCACGCCCAGGCTCCAGATGTCCGCTGCCTTGCCAGAGTAGGAGGCCCTGGAGCTGAGGATCTCTGGTCCCACGTAGGCTGGGCAGGCCTGTTTGTCCCACAGGAGGTCATCAGGTCCTGTCAGGACACAGGCATCTTCCAGGTTCTCCAGCACCAGCTTTGTTCTGGGTAGGGGAAGAGAGGCCAGGTCCTGTTGATGCCACCAGCCCACACTATTATCCTCAGTGGCACCACACACCTCCCCAGTGGGCACTGGCATTGGGCAATCTGAGCTTGCCCTAGGAGCCATCTCTCCACCACAAAGTGCAAGCTCACAGAGGTGAAAAGCCTTTCTCTAGCTCACAGAGCAAGGAGACTTATACAACACTAAAATTTCAAGAACACATAACACAAGTCCCTCAAGGGGGCACTGAGTGGCTGAATTTTTCTTAGACTAGAGGCAAATATGGGGACAGGGGTTTGCAAAGGAGAGCAACAGGAAAAGAGTCAGGTGTCCTAGCACAAGTCCTGACCTAAAAGGGTGCAAGGAACAGCACTGCAGGCCAGGATGTCCCGAGTGTCCCGTGCTCCTGGCTCTGAGCTGAGCGCCTTCCTGGCTTACCTCATCACTTGTCCACTAGACCCTGGAAGGAAAAACCATTCCAATGCCCTTCTCACGCTTCCCAAGGGGGCCTCATTTTATGTCTTTTTTAGACAGGGTCTTGTTATGCAGTTCAGGCTGGTCTTGAAGTCTCTTTGTAGCCCAGACTGGTCTCAAACTCGAAACAGTCCTTCCTGCCTCAGCCTCCTGAGTGCTGAGATGACAGGCGTGTGCCACCATGCCCAGCTATTTATGTTTTGTTGTTGTTGTTTTTTGTCTTTTTGAGACAGGGTCTCGCCCGTGCAGTTCAGGCTGGCCTTGAGCTCACTTTGTAGTCTAGGCTGGTCTCGAACTCACAATGATCCTCCTGCTTCAGCCTCCTGAGTGCTGGGATTACAGGCATGAGCCACCACGCTCAACGTTATTTATTTTTATTATTTTAAACATATTCTGTGTGGGTCTGCAGATATAGTTCAGTGGCATAAGTGTTTCCTGACAAGCATGAGATCGTAAGTTTGATCCCCAATACCCAAAAAATAAATTCTGTGGGGGGCTGGGGAATTTAGCTCAGCAGCATAAGCGCCTGCCTCGCAAGCAGGCAGTCGTGAGTTCGATCCCTGGTACCGATAAAAACGAAAACGAAAAAGACCAAAAAAAAAAAAAAAAAAAAATTCTGTGATACCAGGGATCAAACCCAGAGTAAGCATTCTATTACCAAGTCACACTCCCAGCCCTAGAAAGTATATTATTTATTTACTTATTTGACAGGTCTTGATGTGTAGTTCAGGTGTCTCTGAGTTCACTGCATAGCCCAGGCTGGCCTCAAACTTGTGATCTTCCTGCCTTAGCCTCCTGAGCGCTGGGATTATAGGCATGCATGTGCCACCACACCCAGCCCTCATTTTAATTTTTTTTATCGGTACCGGGGATTGAACTCATGATTGTACACTTGCACGGCAGGTGCTTATGCCACTGAGCTAAATCCCCAGGCCTCACATTTTAGTTTTTTAAAAAGATCCCAGTTTTTTTTTTTTTTTTTTGATCCCAGTTTTTAAAATACTGCCAACAAAAATAAAGAAACAAAGAAAGAAATTTAAAAAATAAAATACTGGAAACAAAAGAAGAGTCCATCATTTGTAACTTCTATGTGCTTTGCGGTCCTGGGGATTGAACCCGGGGCTCATGTCCCCAGGCACTTGCTCTACCCCTGAGCCACAGTTCCAGCCTTACAACTTCTACTTTGAACATCGCACAGAGAACACTCTAGGTTATGTTAATAGTAATTGTTTTTTAACCACCAATTCTGTCTTCCTTAGAGCAATGCTACACTCACAGCCTGGGATAGAGGTGGGAAAGGGGAGTCAGAAGTCAGCATACTGGCCCATTTTACAGATGGAGAAAAGCAGACTTGGGCACCGGAAGCCAATGCTCAAGGGCAAAAAGTAGGCATGAAGCAGAGTCAGGATTTATATCCAGGTCTGTTTGGCTCAGCAGACCCCATTCCTCTGACTGTTCTTACAGAAGAGACGTGCATTTTCCTTCAGAAGGTCTGGGGCAGCTATGCTTGCTCTTAAGTATGAAATCCATTTGAGCCCATCATGATGGTATAGGCCTGTAACCCCAAGTTCAGCAGCCTGAGGCAGGAGCACTGCTGGAATTCAAGGCCAGCCTGAACTTTACAGTGAGACCATCTCAAAAACAAAACAAATAGGGGCTGGGGATTTAGCTCAGCAGCACAAGTGCCTGCCTTCATGGTTGTGAGTTCGATCCCTGGTACCAGTAAAAAAGAAAAAAAAAAAGAAGAAGAAATTTGTTTGAGGTTCTATACCTAGTGACTTATCTACTTCTTTTTTTTTTTTTTTTTTTTTTTTTTTTTGTCTTTTTCGTTTTTATCAACAGCAGGGATGGAACTCATGACCGCACACTCGCAAGGCAGGCGCTTATGCCACTGAGCTAAATCCCCAGCCCCTTACTAATTCTAACTCAAAGGCATATTTGTTTTGACAAAATATGTAGAAAGAAAGAAGGAAACAGAAAATCAGCCTCAGGCAAACATCAGTGTGCCAACTGCTCCAGGCGAATGGATAACTGAAAATTAGTGGCTGAAAGTTTGATTATATGAGTAGTTCCTAAATTACTTATTAATTACAAAAGGCACAGGAAGAACTTTTCCCACTGCAGAAACTTAGCAGATTCCCCTTTCACCAGTGATCAAGGTTAAAGTCACACTAAGGATTTCGTCAGCTCCTGCCTCTCCTGCTGCAATGGGCTGAGGACCTTTCCCTGCTGCAGGCTCCAACCTGTCCCCAGCACTGGGATGGAGCCCCAGGTTTGTAGCAGGCAGGGCAAGTACTCGTCTTCTGACTTTCCCAGGGAACTAAGGAGTGGGGTTGGGGCTAGAAGTCTCACTTTTTAAAAGATTGCTGGTGCTGCACACTGCTCCCAAGGGCTCCTATATGCTCTACCACTGAACAGCATCCCCTAACACAGGTGTCTCTAATTTTTGCCTAAGTTACTCTGCATTCCTGGACCTCAGTTTCCCCATGGTGTCCCAATCCTTGGGTGTATCTCTGCAGGCACTCTCACCTCTCACGGTTGGCAAAAACGAAGCGACGCAGCTTGAGATCACGCAGGACCAGACCGTGCTGGTGGCAGTGCACCAAGGCGGAGGCCATCTGACGGAAGAGCGAGGCAGCTTCAGGCTCAGGGATGCGACGGCGGCTGCGCACCAGGCTGTGCAAGTCCCCGTGAGTCCGGGAGAAGAAGGCATAGAGGAGCTCAGGGCCCAGCAGGAACTCCTCAGGCCGAGCCACATTCTGGTGAGGGGGCAGCCTTGAGTAAGGCTCCAGCACCGCCCGGTCTTCGCAGGCTGGGTATACCTGCAGGAGGTAGCCATGTAAGAGCAGTGGGACAGGGACCCAGGTACCCTTGCAGACAGGTGCAGCCACTTTTTTGTAGTTTCTTTTGTTTGTTTGTTTTTGCTACTGAAGACTGCTAAATTGCCCAGGCTGCGCTTGAATTTGTAATTCTTCTGCATCAGCCTCTGCAACTGCTGAGATTACAGGCCTTTGCCACCACTCCCCTCTCCTCCTAGTGCTTACTCTCCTCTTGGGCTGATTCCTCATACCCTCTCCACTCTGGCCACAGCAGGTCCTTTTCACCCTTTGATGGGCACGTGTTCACTCCCCATTCTCTACCCAGCTGTCCCCTCCCTGGACCTCCCTTCCCACAGCTGCTCAGCTCCTACCCAGCTCTAGCTGATGCCCCAAACACTGATGAGGGAGGTGGCTCCTCTGTGTCCCTGGGGACCCTAAGCTCCACCATGCAGCATTTATCCACTGTGGGGCCCACACTGTGAGGCCCACACTGTGAATGCCCAATGCTGCACCAGCTCTGCAGTATCTCTGGCCTCAGTTCCACCAAGGGCACACTGGATGCTTCCCCAGTAAACAGGAATAAATGAACCTAGGGACCCTCCAAATCCTGGCAAAAACTCTCCGGAGCTGGGACTCCCCACTCCAGGCCCTGGGACATACCTTGCAGGTGTACTGGGTGCCTGTAGGGTGGTGCAGGGCCCGGTAGGCCCGCCCACCCTCTTCAGGCTGCAGGAGGAGGTAAGGCCCAACACGGTGGGAGGTGCAGGTAACAGCAGGTGCACAGGGTGGAGCAGCAGGTGGGTTCAAGCGCTGCAGGTAAGGCACTGGCTGAGGCTGGGGCCCACTTCGAGCCCGTTTCTCAAGGGGCCACTCAGTGTCCAAGTCAGCCACCGACTCCACCAGCTTCTTCCTGGAGGGGGCACCGGAAGGAGCAGGCAGGAGGGTGGCTTGCATCTAGAAAGAAGGGGAGAGAGGCCCTATGGTAGGCTGTTTATTGGCCCCCCTGTTCCCCAGCTGGGTAGGTACCTTAGCACAGTTTTCATAAAAGTGATCCAGCAGTTTGTGCTAAAATAAGCACACCCCCTTGACCAGTGTGTCACTTCTAAAAAGTAAGCCTCCAGCTAAACTGCTCACAAAAAGTTAAAATACGTGGGGTTGGGGATTTAGCTCAGCCGCATAAGCACCTGCCTTGTAAGCAGGCGGTTGTGAGTTCAATCCCCGGTACCGATAAAAAGTTAAAAAAAAGAAAAAAGAAATCAAGAAGAGTTAAATAGGAGAAAGGCTGTTCATCAGAGCTTTGTGTCAAAAGCAAAATTCAGGAAATACTTCAAGTGTCGGGCAATAGAAGGCTGGCTAAGACAAGGTGGAATATTACATGGCAATAAAGAAGCACCAGTGGGCTCTTTCCAGGTGCTGATGTCACTTGATCTCTAAGGAGTATTCAGAGCAAAAGGAAAATTGTTAAAATTAATTTTACACATGTCCTCTGATTGGTGTACTTTAAAATTTTGTTGTTTTTTTCTATCTATAAATAAAATGGATTTGAAAAATACAGTAAAATTCGCCAGGACCTCCTGGCGGTGCCCCAGGGCAACAAAGAAGCCAGAAGAAAAAAGAAAAAGTAAAAAAAAATTCACACACACTGCGTCCTGGTGGTAGTAGCATGAAAAGTGGGTTACTGTTTGAGGTACTACACAGCACTGCAGTCACTAACAGTATTGCTAGTGATAAATGGAACAACCTGCACGGAGAGGTTTTATTTTATTTTATTTGGTACAGGAGAGTGAAAGCAGGAAGCACTGAGCTACACTCCAGGCAGGACTGGGGTAAGCAAGAGCCTTTGCAACCATGCTGCAAGTCCAGGGTCCCTGCTGCAGAAAAGAGGCATTCCCTACCAGATACATGTTGCTGTTCTCCCTGCCTCGCTGGGAAGAGGTGATGAGAACAGGTGATACCAAACATGCTTCACCATCAAGGGCAGACAGGTGTACACACGAGCCTCAAAACACACACGTCATCCAAGCCCCATACACAGACGTCCAGGGCAGAGGGAGCTTGCACCTCAAAGGTCACACACCTGGCCATCCAGGGGCAAGAGCACGAGCACTCGCGTGCGCACAGCCACTTCCCGGCACCCTGCCCCGCCCCCGCAGCCAGGCCCCGAGTCTGGGGTCAGAAGGTTCCGCTGAGTGACAGAGGGCGGGGCAGAGGCCCAGATCGAAAGGGGCCGAGCTGGGCTCCGAACCTCCCGCGAGGGGTTTCCGCGGCCCGCTCCCTCCGCACTCCTGCCCTGTCGCGGCGGGCGGCAACCCCCGCATTACTAACCCAATTCGCCCCCAGGTGCCCATCAGTGCTTTCAGCTGTCACTGTTCGCGAGAAACCAGATCCCCAAAAACCCCTTACCCGGCCTCTGCCGCAGAGCCCCCGACAGCCCCACAACTCCACACACTTGACGCGACTCTGCGGTGCCCCCCGCGGGTCCCCCACACAGCCTCGCCCCGCCGCACACTCCCGGGGGGAGGGTCGCAAACTCCGCGCCGGGCGGGCGTGCCCCGCTACCAGACTTGGCTTTCGCGCCCTGCAGGTGCGCACCCGCGGGGGGCCAAGGCGCCTGGAACCAGGGAGCTCGCGGCCGGCGCCCGCAGCTGCGGAGTTCGTTCAAAAGTTGCGCGCGTGCGTGTGTGCGCGTGCTGCACAATGCGCAGGCGCGCTGCGCCCTTGCCCGGACGCCCCCTGTAGCCTGTTGCCTGCTCGCCGCCCCAGCCCGGCCGGGTACCTTGTCCTGGTGCCCGTCCGTCCCTCCAGGGGACCCGCTGCCCGCTGCACTGCGGCCGATCTCGCTGTGCTGGCCCTGGCAGGGGACGTGTGCAGAGCCGCCGGCGCCTCGGCCACTAGTGACTCGGGTACGCCGTGTGCCCCGGCTCCGGGTTCGGTAGGGTGATGTAAACCTGAGCTAATAGTCGCTGTCTGACGCCCGCCGGCCCGGGATTGCGCCATCCACGCGCCCCGCCCCCTGTCTGCGCCGGCCCGCCCCGCCCCGTCGCCCCCTGTCGCCCGCCCTCTGCAAGAGCGCTCGGGGCACCGGTGCTGGAGCGGTCTCAACGCGGGAGCCCGGGACCGAGCATGAGAGTAGACGCTAACCGTCTCCGTCACCTTGGAAAAACATTTTGCTTTCTGAGCCCCAGTTTCTCTATCCAAGACAAGGCAGGAACGTCCATCTTTCAGGCTGATGTTGAAAAAGAAAAAGAAAACTCCGAATTTCCTGGGTAGCTTCCAGTTAGAGCGTGTTCCTCAGTTCGAACCCCGGTACAGAGAAAAAAATAATACCTGACTGCCTGTGGGCCCAGAAAATTCAGTACAGCGCTGGGGGAGAGGGGCTGAGATTGGGGCTGTGTCCTGGTGCTCACTGGAGAGACGGTATGGTCTGCAGATTAGGAGCAGGCACCCTGCAACCACCCTACCTCAATTTGCATCCCTCCTCACCTCAAGAAAGCCACTTACAACCCTCCCTCAGTTTCCTTCCATATAAGATGGACTCATGGCAGTATTTATCTCACAGGCTGGTTGAGAGAATTAAATAACTGCACACATAAAATACCTCGTGCTCAATAAACAATAGACACAGCAAAGACTCTGAGTCAGCTGGGCCTGGAGCAGGATGTACAAGCTGCAGGAGGTCCTGGTGCCCTTTGACCTGAGTCCCCACGCCTTTCTTGGAAATCCGTTTTAGGTCTTAATGACTGTACTCAAAAAATAACTCCTCAGGCAGAGCCAGAGGGAGGCAGTACTACTTTTAAGCCACTTTGGTTTCCCTGTGCTGAACACTTGGGACCAGAGCCCTAGGGTCTGGCTGTCTTAAGTATCAGAACTCCTGGGATGCCTGTGCCTCCCTCGCTGGGAAGGGATCAATGAACTTATTTTCCACCCCAGGACACCAAAACAGGTAGAAGATTCTCACTATGGCAAGAGGCAAAAGGGCGGGGATGGTGGCATCCTGAGCCCCTGTCTGAAGCCAGCCCTGCAGCCAGGTTTACAGGAGATTGCTAACTTTGTTGTGTGCTGAGCTCATGTCCTGATTGTTGTACACTAGCAAAAAGAGCTTTGTTATATTTGTATTATACCAAAATACCTGTAATGTGGCCTACTGTTCTATATGCATGTTTCTTTTCCTCTGGGTGACCTAACTGATATGTTAACCATTGTTGCCCTCTACAAATAACAGATGTGGTGCTAAAATAAGTTAACAAGGGTTGTTAATTACTGCTAGACTGCTGTCCTCTCCTAAGGAAAACAAAGGTCTTCCTCATTAACAGTTTTCCCGATCCACAACCACGACCCCCTTACTTTGTAAATTGTGATGTGTACTTAAAGGTGGCAAGTATAGAGGAGCAATACACAGCTTTTGCAGTCTCCAGCTGCACTGTGTCCAGGGTAAAATAAATCAGCGCTGCTTTTTAAAATATGTTTTTTTCCTCATTTTTTGAACTCGAGTTCGAGGGCTCCTTTGTGGATTACAAGACTGATCTCTGTGCTGAGGACTCTGCTGACCAGACTCATCCATCCTTACCCTGACAGATCTTATCAGCCAATAGGGAAGAAGACTGTTACAGGAGACAGTCTGTATCATTTAAAATAGATTAGAGTTGGGGATATAGCTCTGAGAGAATCGACTCCCCGTTTGTAATGTAACCCCCCCCCCCCGAGCTATAGAACAGAGCTATAAGGAATGTTTCACTCCCTAAACCTTTCCCAGGAGATAATCAGAGCAGGGCAGAAAGGAATGTCTCTGCTAGTCATTAACCACTAGATGTTCTGTTCTCTGTAAAGATAGAGATAAGCAAAAGAATGTACTGCATAAACAGGACCAGGGGGCACCTGGCACTCTAAGGTCAACCCAAGACCCTCGGTCTCCATGGTTACTCAGCCCCAGACCCTCAAATCAGCGTTAGCCAAGTCCTGCACCGTTCAAAATTAACCAATGCGATTTGCTTCTGTAAACTTGCTTGCCTCCTGCTTGTACCTTTAAAAACCCTGCACAGATTCCCCTCGGGGCCCCTCCGCACACGTTTGCCTGAGGGACCCCATGCGCATGGAAATAAACTTTTTTCCCTCACCAAGAGTTGAGTCCTTGGGGTCTCTTTCCCTGCGGCGTCGGCCCTAACATCTTGGAGGCCCCAGCGAGATAGCACGTCTCACGGAAGGTGACCTCAACGGCTCTGCGGTGGGTGAGTACGACCGGTCGCTTCTTATTTTTACTCTGAGGATCAATCTACCGGTATTTTACGCCCCGAGCCAAACGGCTCCGGTCTAGGGGCAATTTTTGTTACCTGTTTTTGTTATCTGTTCTCTGTTCTCTGGTGACCGGGGGACGCCCCACACGGTTTTCCGTGGCTCACCGTCTGCGATAGGATTTTCCTATCGGTTTGGGGCCCAATCTGTGGTCCGTCAGGGCCAATTCGGAGACACCCTCTGAGGTGACTCGTTCGGGGAATTTCATTCCCAATCTGTGGTCCGTCTGGGCCAATCTGGGGAATTTCATTCCCAATCTGTGGTCCGTCCGGGCCAATCTGGAGGCACCCCCTAAGGTGACTCGTTTGATGTGAAACTAATGCGTGAGAGTGAGGTGGCCGGCCTGTTTGTCCTGTGTGTTGTGACTGTTGTAAACGGTTATTTGTTGTGTCGCGCGTACGCTAACCACTCTTTGTCTTCAGAACACCATGGGACAAATGACATCGTCCCCATTGTCCCTTACCCTCGACCATTGGTCGGAGGTTCGAGAGAGGGCTCACAATCTCTCCTTTCAGGTTAAAAAAAGTAAATGGCAGACTTTCTGCTCGTCTGAGTGGCCCACATTCTCCGTGGATTGGCCACCGGAGGGGACTTTCCACCTTCCCCTCATCTTAGCAGTTAAAAACATCATCTTCCGCCCTGGACGAGAGAGCCACCCCGACTGGGTCACCTACATCTTGGTATGGCAGGACCTCAAAGAGAAGCCCCCACCGTGGGTAAAACCCTTCCTTCCTCCGCCCTCTCCTTGGTTGCCTGTTTAAACTTGTTACTAACTTAGGGCCTTGTTGCCCATTTCTGTTGCAGGATCCATATGGCTTATTAGATTCAATTACTTCCTTTAGCTCACCAAACTGTGCAAGAAGCTCCCTTTGTTTGTGTCTTTAATGTTGTGGCACCTTGTTTAATATGTAAGACTTCAATTGATTGCTTTCAACCTCGGCATGCCTTTTAAAAGGAGTATTTTTTCTCTCTGATGAAAATGTAAACATGTGCACATATATATGTATATCTATGGTTGTTAAGAGTCATGTCAACTTTGCCAAGTAAAAACCCTGGCGGTACTCTATTTGAGCCAGTTAAAAGGCTATAGTTTTGTTTTTAAAATACAACATTTTTATGTGGTAAATAAGTATGTTTTGGACTACTAAAAGGTGACTTCAAGGGTTTTGTTGAGAGTTTTAATGTTGTCTAAAAAGTGAGAGAAAAGGTAATTGACTGGTAATAGTAAAAAGAGGGACAAAGAGAGTGGTCTTCAAGTAAAGGTATCTGGCTATGCCAGAATGTGGAAAAAGATTAAAGCTTAGTTTGAGAGGTATTATTGTAAGTTGTAGAAGGCTCAAGAGGATGTAAATTTTATTTGTCTTGGTTTATAGTACTACAAATAACAGGTTTGACAAGAAGTAAATGTGTTCAGAATTTGACAGTATTAGATCAGTTTTGGTAGAAGTATACATAAGATTGTACTTTGCTGCAAAATGTTTTCATTAAAATGAGATTATAGGTGATACTAAAAATAAGATACAAGTTCTTACATGTGCTGTGAACATCTGGGAGATTATGCAGCACAATTTTGTTACCTATAAAAAAGCCCTTTTTGTTAAGAATATAATTTTAGTAAAATGATGGCTTGTCACGTGACACCCTTGGACAAGAAGCAGTGTGCCATCCAGATGAAGCCGGCTCTCTGATCCGGAATGCCAAAACCATGTTCTCCTTTTGTGCCACCCTGACTGGACATCCAGAGGTAAGAAGGTTTCCCAATATTGCCAGTTGTTCTCTTTGTAACTCAGTGGGCCCCACATGTTAGACAAAAATTACAAAGGTTTAAGAGGTTTAAAAAAATGCCCCTCAGCCAGTTAATAGAGATAGCACAAAAAGGTCTTTGAGAACTAAAAAATTTACAAAAAGATAGCCAAGATGTTAAAATTGCTCTACGAGAAAAGACTTTTAAAAAACAGACAAGACTTTCTGGAGACAGTTGGATACTGTAGGCTAAATTTTACTGAAAAGCTTGCCTCTATATGACTCCCATAAGGGAAAAACTCAAAATTCGCTGAACTGGACTGATAAATGTAAACAGGCCTTCCAGCAGCTCAAGCGGGCCTTGACAGAGGCCACAGCCCTGGGACTCCCTGACGTTACCAAGCCTTTCACCTTGTTCATAGATAAACTCAGAGACATTGCCAAAGGAGTCCTAACTCAGGACATTGGCCCTTAAAAGAGGCCTATAGCCTACCTCTCCAAAAGACTTGATTCAGTAACAGGAGTATGGCCTCCCTGCCTTAAAATACTAGCTACTGTGACAATGTTACTTAAGGAAGCGAAGAAACATGCTTTGGGCAAGTGATTTCTGTGGTAACCTCTCACAGTTTAGAGACTCTTATCAAAACCCCTCCTAAAAAAAGG